CTGTGCCCTGTGCTGTTGAGGGTGCTCACTGGCCTTAGCAGCGTGCCTGACCACAGTCCTCATCATTAGACACTCTGAGTTTACCAAGATGCAGTCAGCTCTACTTCTCCCTCTTCCCTTAATCTGAACCCTTTGCAAAAGGGCTCAGCTGCTTTCCATTAAGGAGCTTGGTGACAGGCATGAGTCTAAATGGATCAGCAGCCAACCCCTCCCTCTCTAAATGTTACTTTGCCAAGAATTCTCTCCTAATGCTGGATAGAAAACCCAGCACTTTCATGTGGTTGCAAGCAGGGGGTGATGCAGAGAGATATCTTTGTGAGAACTCGTTGTTGATAGAGCTTGAAAAGGAGACCAGATTCCAAACTGGCTGGCTGTATCATTAGCAATAATGATCTTCTTTGTAGCTTTGCTGCATGATGGGTCTCTTCTAGGAAATGATCTGTCTTTTACATTTGCAATGCATTTTTGAAAGGATCTCGTCTGCAAAGATCAGAGTGTATTCTGCAGATGGGTAACTTGAGGAGGACGTTGCTATCATGTAAGTAGGGATAGAGTGGTAAAGTAGATTCTTGCCTTCTGCTTCTGGTTTCAGTTTGGTAAGCACTCCATGTCTGGGTGGCAACAAGGCAGATCTGGGATTCATCCCACCTCCTGCTAATTGGTTTCCACCAATTTGGTGAAGGTTACACTGCCAAAAAGCTGAAGAATGCTCTCAGTCTTTATTTACCAGCAGCCTTGTAAAAAAGGAGATGTTAACAAGGCTTGAAATGTAGTATGTTTGAAGAACTGGTGGAATAAGAGACTCCCAGCTAGAAAGAGCCCAAGATAGCAATTGCATCTACCAGAAGAGGCAAGAAAGGCTGTCTGCAGTGAAGAATCATCTGAGTATGAATGGGCTTTTCTGAAAGAATTGTTCTATGGGAGTTTATAATAGGAATGGTTATTTAATAAAAATCACTTAAGTGTTAACAGGAGAAGCTCAAGGGAGATGAAATGCTTGTGGAGATGTGTAGACAGAGGAAAATAAATGGAATACTTAATTATATTACTGTGTTTAGAAGACGCTGGAGGTCCTGGGTTCAAACTCCATTGCAGGCCTGGAGGATGTAGTTTGCATTTCTGATGGGAGTTCATAGCAGTGAAGCAGCCTTCTGGCTTGTTATTGCAAATCTTTGCAGAGGCCTGTGGCTCAGCTTTGATTTCTTCTTCTGTGGTCTGAGCCTTTGCAGTGCAGAGGTGTGAGCCAGAGGCGCTTAGGCTGACAAAACTCCCTGCAGCACCAACCTTTTAAAAGTAAATAAACAGCTTTCTCTATTATTCGGTCCCAAACGGTATCAAATTTTTTGGCTGCTTTGCATCCTTTCTTCTCCATTTACAAAGCTCCAAAACCAGAGGGGCACATGACAGAAGGAAAACTACTTTCTGATGAGAGGCAGTGTCTGCAGCGAGAGAATACCTCTGAGACTGCGCCTCTTTGCTGGATGCTCCCAGCAGGATGATGACAAACCACAACTCTGGGCGATGGGAAAATAAAATCCAGCAAAAACTGCCACCTTCAAATCAGCTGTAGTGCTCTGGGGATGTGCAGAAATACAGGAAAGCTCTGCTTTCTCCCTTGCCTGAGAGAAGTTTGTTTCTCCTTTGCCAACCTTTGCAACCTCCTGTCTACTAAGCCATCCCTCACTTAGGGACATCAGGCATTTCTTCCCAGTTGCTTTTATAGAAGGCAGTAGGAGCCTTCAGCAGCCTTGCAAGCTGCTTCTTGAGATAACTACCCAGTGCCAATGGAAAATGAGTGGGCATAGCCATTCCCTGCAGCCATCATCTGCATGTGTGAAATGGGGGGATACCTGTCCTGCTGTATCCAGACAGAAGCAGTCTAGGTGGGATGCTCCTTTATTTTCATTGCCGTGGCAAAATCTTGGAGGTTGTGGGGGGAGGTGGTAGGGAAGTGACCTACTTTCAACTATTTCCATCTGCTGCAATGAACTGCGTGGCTGCCTTTAGGAGTGAGCACAGAGTGCTGCGTTGGGTATGCAGGTATCTGTCATGGGGAAGTCCTTCATGCTCTTATCTGGGGCCATGGCTCTGCAACAGGGCTTGGGCTTTGTTCTTGTGTGGTTTTCAGTGCAAAGTCCTGTCTGTCTACACACAGAGAGTGATGGCAGCCCTTCTTGTGGATGCAGCAAGGCTAAGGTGAAACAGATAGGAAGCCTTAGAGTATCTGATTGTATTCTAGTATTTGCAGGTGGGTGCTTCTTCAAGAAAGTGCTTCATGAGTATCAGGAAAAATAAGGCGGCCCAGGCTATGAGACCTCTCTTACAGGCTCATTAAATCTGCTGGGTTTCTTCCCTCTTCTTACCAGTTTATCTATTAGAACTGGATCAATTACCAGAAAAAGCGGAGCCACAGACCTGCCTTTGTGACGAGTCTGACCAGCAAAACAGGAAGGTGGCTGTTTTCTGTTGCTTATTATAGGTGACACAAAACCTAAGGAAAAAAAAAAATCACCATGAAAATAGTGCACTGAAAGCCTTTCTTGATGGTTGTTGTGGTTGGGACATCTGGTTTTATCATCCACATTGCATCTCTTCCACCTCAGTTGACGCTGTCCTGCGGACTTGAGGGCTCTGGGTACGGCCAGCATGCCTTTGAAGGCAAGCACAAACACACTCTGTCCTTTGAGTCAGTGTTTCACAGCTGCATGAGGGCAGTTGTGAGCCAAGAGAATAGTCTGGAAGAGCTCATCAACTTGGGAATGATGCTGCAATAACTAGTTTCTTGTTGGCGAGCCTAGAGCAGGGACAGAGTATTTGTGTGCCTGTCAAATTCCATGGAGAAAGTCCCTTTATGGCTGTGTATTCAGTTAGATCTCTGAAAAAATGTTACCTTGGCCATCAGCATGTCTGGGTAAGAGGCACTGGAAAGGAAAATTTTTCTTACAGGGCTCAAAGGAGACCAGCCCTCTCCTTTTGGTTTTCCTGCTAAAGAAGGTAGCGGATGAAAAAATCCAAAGGGAATTTCTACAGCTGCTTTGGTAAAAGGAGGAATAATGGCTATTTTCTCCATTTTCCTAGCATAATAGGGATACCACAAAAGAACTGGTAAGAGTTTTTGTGAAAAACACATTTGACATTTGCAGCAGCCACTGGAAAGTGGGTCACGAGCTAGCACAGCATAATATTCTCCATATGTGAGATACATTTCATCCTGAGGATCTCAGGAAACCTCAAACATTGTCTTGCTTGTTTGTTTTTGCAGAACTTTCCCTCAAGTGATTCACATTTGTACATGCACATGTATATTTCAAACATGTACGTACACGTGTGCCTTTGCACCCAGCTGCCTGTGGGAATAATGCAGGCTCCTTAATGGTGCCATCCCTGAGAGCAGGAACCAGAACACAGCATACAGCTGAACAGAAAACCGATGGCAGCCAAAGTTGATCATTGGCTGGAAGGTTGGGTCAGGATGCTGAGAGTTGCAACAGTGAGATTGCTAGGAAGTGTGTGGGTTTAGAACACAGCGTGAGTAAAGCAGCCATTGCATGTTTTCATTCCACCTGTATGGAGACCAGCAAAAGTTTTTGAACTAGTTCATGGCATTCCTGTCTCTCTCACTCTCTTCTGTCATTACAGCATCTTGAGTGCCTATCGAGTGACCAACAGTTTCCATGCACGTTTCTCTGCGCTGTCAAGAACCTACATTTATCGGCTGCTGATGGGCTGCACCCACCATTCTGAAATACCAGTGTTTGAGAGGGACCTGTGCTGGGCTCCCACTGGAGGGTGAGTGTCTTCCATACGCCTCTGGGCAGCTCTGCAAGGACTTGGTACTTGGAAGAGGTGCAGGGGGTAATTTCCACATGTGAAACCAGATTCCCACATCATATTGGAGATACTGAACGATGGAGCTGCACTGAGTTACATTCAGTGAGGCCTGAGACAGTTCTTCTTAATTGTACAGTCAGCTGTAGATGTTGTTAACGTGCTGAAGTACTCAATGGCTCTGGGCCACATCCATGAACAAACTCTGTTTGCCCTGCATGGAAGCAATTTCCTCAGATAACCTTGCCAATTCATACAGCAAACCGGTTCTGACAGCTGGCTGAAGGGACAATGCTCTCAACGATGCAGGCAGAAATGCATCACGTGGCAGATGTCACAGCTTCAGGTGTGACCATACAAAGAAGGCAGTCAATGAAGGCTGGCAATTCTTTTCTTTTTCTCATCCTGTTTCTGGTGACGGTTGCATGAAATCTTTGCTCTCATTCCCTGACTGAATGCCTTTATGTTTGAATAATAAGTGAGAGCCAATGACTGAGCAACCCTACAGTAACTAATTGGTGTATCTACATTCACATGTATTCTTAAAAACACTTAAGACATGATTAACAGCAGGCAAGAAAATAAAAAAAGAGACCCCAGAAGAAAATTAGTTATTGCCCTTTAGACAAGGTTGTGCTGAGATAAATATGCATTCAAGAACACTGGAGTTTTTCACATTATAGAAAAAACAAGCTTGGAAAGCCATCATGATGTTTGAATATTTTCTTACCTGGCAACACCTTTTTGAGTTTACAAGGTACTGCAAAGGATTTTGCTCCTCGTTTCCTCCACTCCAGCCATAAAGCTATTGTGAATTCAACCACATTAAGCAGAACAGCAGGATAAAGCTTTGTGAAAAAATGTGTGCCTGCCAACCCCTCACCTGGCCTGGGGCTTTGAGCACCTTCAGACCTCAGGTCATTTGGCATCTTGGTTTGTGCTCTTGCAGGAAAAACTCCACCATCCACAGTGCTGCCACGTTCTACCTGCATGCTCAGATTAGGCCTCTCATCAGTTAATTGGAATTTGACCCACATAACACATTCAGTCCCTCCTAATGCTCCTTTCCTTTTCAGCTACCTCAACGTGCCTGCCATGCAGGATGCAGCACAGTTCCTGCTGGGAACACACGACTTCAGCACTTTCCGTTCACTGAACTCTGAAACCCCATTTCGGTCTCCAGTCAAAACCATCCTACAGGCAGACATCCAACCCTCTTCTGGTTTCCTATCCCACCACTATGAATACAGGTGAGAGCCTGGATACTCAGCTGAGGAGCTGCCCTGATCAGCTACTGCTTGCTTTGTCAGAAAAGCTGCTTTCCAGTGCTGTGCTGAGAACTGACCTCCTCTCACTGCATTGCCTTCACAGTCTCAGCAGGGTTCTGCCCAGTGACGGTCTGGGAAGGATATTTCTTTCCTTCTCCCAATGACCTCAGAGAGAAAGATGAGCAAGGCTGAGGGCGAGAAGCTGGCCCAGTTGTCAGTGCAGTAAGGCAGGATGTCAGAAACCTGGCACAGCAGTTCCTGTGTGATGCTGAAGATTAGCACTGCCAGGGCATGGGATTTTTATTTTCGGTCCTGGCTCTGTCTTAGCTTTGCCTAGAGGCTGCAAATAGGAGGAAAAATAACTCACCCAACACCCAGGGCACTGCTGTAGCTACACATATCCTCTCAGTTCACACCAGTAACTCCTGCTGCCTTCCTGGGGGATGCTGATGAAAGAAAATTCAATATTCCTCAGTCAAGATATAAACAAAAGATTGCTGTGTGTCAGGTTTTTTCAGGGTCAGATCTTGCAAGTATTGAAATGAAGTGGCTGGATGTATTGTCTCTCTTTAGCAGAAACTGAAGGGTTTTTTTTTCCCCCTCAGAAAGATCACATGTATTTACCATCTGAACATGGCCCCTGCTCTCATGCTGGATTCTTTCAGAGAAACATGGCTGTTGTGTTCCAGCTTGAAAGCAGACATTGCTATTGTCTGTCCCCAAACCACGTTTTCCTTGTTTCCAAATAATAGAAAACCTTTTTCTTTGTAGTTTCCTCCAGCAGTCCTCCATTAGGTTTGAATATTTACTGAGCAGTCTGCAACAGTAAGGGCCATGCTTCAAGCTTCAGCTGAGCCTCATTGCAGTTTACAAACAGCCTGCTCTTTCTTTTCCCCCCTTGTCCTAGGATGGTGTGTTTTGCCAGCAATAGTGTAGGATAAAAGCCAGAAGGGAACTGCAAAAACAGAGAGAGATCTGTATGCTCTGAGTAGCCCTGGTCTTTCAGTTCCTCTCAGTCTCCCTATTCAGGGTCAGGAGGAAAAAGGCATTTTGTCTGATCCATGGTTTCTTTGCACAGTATTGGTGCTGTGAATACACAGCTGCATCACAAAGAGCCACCTAGTTGGGTATGGTATATTCACTGAAGCTCTGTGCTGTGCAAGTACAAGGACATGGGCAGTGAGTGCCAGATGGGTCGCTTCCTTCCTGCTTATTTGCAGCTAAAACACTGCCTGCATTGGAAAAGGAGGGCTGGAAGGGAAGCTGGGTGCTGTTACCTGGCTGCATTCCTGCTGTCTGTTGTTGGCCACTGCTGGTTGGAGAGCCTGACCACCAACAAGTAAGTTCAGTGCTTTGCCACTGAGCAAGCCTGAAAATAAGCATGAACAGTCTCATCAAGATCACCTGTGAGTGCATGCAGGTCATGTTATCTTCAAAATCCAGACCTACTGTGGTTGATTGTCCCATCCCCGAGATTCGATACAGATCAGCTTTTTTCTATCCTTAATTTTATTTAAAAAAAAAAGGAATTTACCATTCCTTGCATAACTTGCTGCATAAACCCATCCCACACAAGGCCAAAAACAGCTCACAGGAGAGAGCAAACCGAAAAATGGGTTGAAAGGCATCAAGCTTGTTGCTGATAGCATTTTTTCGCTTGGTGACGCATGCAGCCCAAAGTTGTGTTTTGTAACAAGTCATCTTTTTAATGTGCCAATATCAATTGATTTCCAGAACACCTAGGTTGAAGGGGGTGGCTTTGAGAAGCCTTGTTTTGATGCATTTAAACAGCACCTAACTCCCCTACAGTCCTTCCTTAGTTAGTAAAGCCTTAACCAAAACCATGAGCTTTCTGATCTGAAGAAAAATAAAGTCCTGGAGTGAGCGTGTTTGTGACAGGCTGAGGGGGTGTTTTTCTTTGGCTGATTTTGGTTTGTTGCAGTGTCCTAGTTCTAATCTGCAAAACACCCTATGGGGACAGCTGTAGTCATGGAGCTTGGTGTTTGCTTTTGCCCATACTGCAAGTAAGACAGCAAGTGCCTGAAATGCATGTGTGTTTCTTCCCTGCAGTGGCAGGATTAACTGTCCTGCAATGAAAGGGCTGTGATAGCAAGAAAAAAAAAATAATCTATTTATAAGCTTGTAATAAGTCTAAGGAGCTTTATTTTCTGCTTCAGAGGGAGGAATCTGCAGAATGATAAACCAAGGTTTCTTAGTGAAATAATGCAGCTTTTCATTCGCGTTCTTCCCTTCCTTTCTGAACTTAAACCAATCTTCTGAATTGACTGCTTGTCTTTTGAAATGATTCCTTCCGTCAAACCCCAGTGTTGCTCAGCAACACTGGAAGTGGAGTTAAAGTCCTATCCATCCGAAATGCTTTTTAATGCCGAGGATGTGCTTAGAGCCTCAGCCCCATTCCCAGGGAGTGATTGCTCTGTCACCTGTTTTCTAGCTGAATATGTATTATTCATTGCAAGGTGCTGCCTGCTGCTGCTAAGTGGAAAAGACAGACAGAGTTTGTGCTGGTAAGCAGAATTCCTTGTGAGATTGACAAGAAAAAGAAAGTTTCCCACTCTAAGAAAAATATTTTGTTCTCTACAAGATATTTTCCTGAAGTATCTCAAGCTATCTTTTGTAGCTTAGTGCATCTGCTTGAGACACCCAAGGCAGGAGGATCCTGGCTAGAGAAAACACATGCAAACCATCTCTTACCATTGCTGAAGAGCTGAGCAGACTGCTGGCTGTAATGTGGTGGGTATTTGTGCACGTGCTCAGCGCTGCACATGTCTATGTGCCACATCCTCCTTGCTGTAGGGAGAGCAAACCGTATGTAAGTGATGGAAGGAGTGTCATTGCTTGACACAGAGGAATCTGGGGGCAGGAGCTGCCTTTGCATTTACCAACATTTGCAACAGGAAGAACTAAAAGCAGTAACTTATCTGTGAATCCTGTGAGAAAACAGCTTGCAGCTGCTCCCCAGGGTGATAATTTCACAGTCTCTCTTCCTGCTCACCCTGCCCTGATGCCCCATGCAGGCTGTGAATCACACTGTCCCTGCTTCATCTTTTTCTACCACTTAGAAGAGCTGTCTTCTAGGCCCCCCCCCTTTTATGCTCAGGTGCTTCCAGCAAACCCAGCCTGTCCTGATTCCCCCAAATACGTTGCAGCTGTGCTTTTCCCACCACTGATTCAAGTCTTCAGAGCCCCACACGACTGGGCTCATGGCAAGAGAAAGGAAAAGAGGTTTTGTGCGTGGGCATCTATAGACTTTTAGTACTGTTTGATAGTCTTGTCCTTGTAGGGAACATTGCTTATCACTTTAAAACTTTCTGAATAATGATAGCTGTATCAATGGATTTGAAGAAGGGAAAAAGATGTGTTTTCATGCAGTGGTATCTATCCATCCATCCCCAAATATTGCTGTGCTTCTTCCTGCTCTGCTTACTCTCAACTTCCAGCTACCCCAGAACTGCTGCCCAGAGCAGGCTGTGGGGTGGTTTACATTCTGAATTCCTTGCAAGGCAGCTGGCTTCCTCAAAAGTCTGGATTTGAGTTCCTGAGCCTGCTGTGGGCAGTGGTGAAGGAAGGGGCAGTGTGGGGAGAGAGGTGGAAAAGGAGACCGACCTGTTGTGAAATGCAGATCAGAGGCAATCAATGCAGTCTTTTTGCAAGCATCCCTGATGTGGAATGATGGATGTTGCTGCAGTTGGTCACAAGAGCCTTGTTTTGTCTGCACTACTTCCCCCTGCCACAAGATACCCACTGCTCAGTCTCAATCCTAATGGTTTTGAATTCTCTTCTCCTTGTTGCCTTCATCCGAGCAACGCACAAAATTCAATCTTTTCTCACTATGAACCCTTAATGTAACATCCCCCAAAGCACTCCCCACAACCCCTGTTGTTCCATGCTTGCTCCCCATCATGGCACTGAATTACACATCCTGCAGACTTTGCTTTTGCAGCCCTCCTGCTAGAAGAGCTGCAGGGTGGAGAGATGCTCATAGCAGTGCTGAGCACTTCCTGTGCCTCAGTGCTCTCCTCTTCTCTCCTTGAAGGATGCTGTTCTCAATGTGCAAAGGTTTTGGTCTGAACAAGTGCTATGGGAAAAGGCTGAGGGTCTTTGTTAGGCTGTGCACATGGTGGAATTAGAGCTTCTATAAGTGTTGTTTGTGATTTGACAAGTGAAAAGCTTTTATCAGAGCTAGAAATGTTCAGTCACGTCCAGAACGATTTATGGGATGGCAGAAATGCTGTCGAGGGCAAATCATTCAGTTCAGCCTGACACGACGTAAGCGCTTCTCTTGGGTGAGATGCAGTGCTGACATTGCAGAGCTCCACTTTGGCAGCAGGTTTTTAAACGTTTGCTGCTCTGCTGTCCGCATCAGGATTTGATCTTTCCTGGAATCCTACCAACTGTTGTTCTGGGGAAAACATCTGGCAGAAGAGAGTTTGTTGCAAAGAAAAGGAGAAATCGGTTTTCAGGTTGGAATTTGCCAACTTACCAGAACTTTGAGTGCCCGTTTTGCCCCTGACACGGGTCAGATTGACCCAGTACTCATCAGAAGGCCCTCTGCCATCCTTCCCTCACCATGCCTTCATCTCTTTCCTTTTGGTTCGTTCCATCCTCTCCTCCTGGAGAGCAGCAGAGCGCATGGATGTCGGTGCAGCTGTCACCTTGCTTTCTGTTTGCTAAGTAAAACCATCTCCTGACCAGAACAGAGACTGGTGTTTGAGCTCTGGGAGCTGGCCTGGCTTTGTGGTAGCATTCTCAGCCACTCTAAGTGTTTTTATTTCACTTCCTTCTTAAACATGTCTAGAGAAAGACCATTCTTAAGCACTGAAACCTCTGCTGTTAAAAAATAATGCTGCCACTAAGGGCTGTTTTGTCTCGTAAGGAATCTTGCAGTTTGTACCTCCTCCTTGGATCTACCTCCTCCGATCAGGTCAGACAGGCTGCAGGTATTTCAAGTCTTTAGCACAGCAGGCATGTCCTCTGCCTAAACGGAGGTGGTGTTTGGAGCACTTCAGTGCTGCCCAGGAAAAAGGCAAATTCTCTGTGTTCTCTCTGCAGTTTGCACTTCTAAAAGAGCAGCTTGTTGGCTTTGAGGCAGTCAGTGACTCAAAGTAGCTTACATCTCAGCAAGCATCTGCCCCTGCTGTTGAACCAGCAGCCCTCATATAGGCTCTAACTGCAGGGTGGTGTTTTGCAACAGCCCGAAGATCCATCTGGCAGGCTGGGCCTTGAAGCGGTGAAGCAGAACTTGTGCTTACCAACATCTTCTTCATCCGAAGGCTTCAGAAGATTTGTAGCTGAATTGTTGCTCCTTAATCTCCTTTAGCTGTCCTGGAGGTGTTCTTACTGATAACTCTTTTTTTGTTCCAAATCCTGTTAGTTTAAACTGATTATTTTTTATCACAGGGAGGTTTAGGGGAAGGCTGATGCTCCAGCACTGCTTAGTGGTGGCACTAAGCCACCAGATACTGCTGTAAAATTTCCCTTTAAAATGCTTGAAATTTGGGTGAAGAAAATGTTATTTGTGCCCGGAATGAATGGCAAAGCAACTGAGAGCCCAAATCTGTTGCTATGCTTCTGTCAGAGCTTTTCTTCCCATGCAGAACAGCATTTACCCAAAGCTCACCTACACAGTCTCTGCCACAGCATTGGTGTTTTCACAGCCAGCTGCCCTGCCACCCTGCCTCTGAGCAAAGATGCACCCCTGTTTTATGCAGGACTCTTTGGGAATTGAAGCTTTGGGGCATTATGGTGTGGGCCATGGTGTCCTCTTGCCTGCCTTGGGGCACACTTGTCCTCAGACAGCTCTGCTTCCAGCAGCTCACTCCAGTGCCATCCCAGCAGTAAATAAGTGATTGCCTCTGGCTTTGTGCACTGTGTGCTTCATGTGGCTCTGTTCACTCTTAAGACAACAAATCTGCTTTTCTCATACACTTGCATTGTTCCCTTTCTGACAAAGGTTTCTTTATTTCTCATTCATGTTAATTCTCCCTTATAGATGTATGAATTATTTCAGTGTAGCCATAACTGACCTGTGCAGTTGTTCCCAACAAAGGTAAACACAGCATTTGGGCTAGAATTGTTGGCTATTTATAGTTCTAATTAGTGATCTTTAGTGCAGACGTGGATCTCAGCTACTTGTTCATTCTGCTTGTGTTCACCTGTGGCTTTTGCTGTTCTTGTAAGAAGTTCTCATGTTTGAGATGTGATTTTGAAACACTTTTTTTTTTTGTCTCTGTAGGGGACTGCAGTTTTGGGAGCTGAAGTTCAAGAGCAGATCGTTTCTTTACCGACAGGTACTGCTCTGCTCTGTGCACCCTTTGTCTCCAAGAACCCAGATATCACTCTCACTGTAACACGATTCATTTGGCAGTGTTGCATCCACTTGTAGTGCCATCTCAGTTGCAGAGCTGGTCCTACAGCTTCATGATACACACAAGAACCTTGTCAAGCGAGGCTCCGTGTTCGTTGTTTGATCCACTAGAACCAGACTATCTTTGGTTTGTGTCTGAAATGAATGACCAAAGTCACAGAATCATGTGGGAGGATGGAAAGTTTTGTTTTCCTCAGTCTTTGTCCTTGCAGTCCGACTGGTGAAAACCAAGAGACATATGTTCTTGCTCTGCTGAATGGCACTGGGCCCAGTGAAGGCTGCCTGGAATTTTACTTTCTGGCTTTGGAGCGTGAGGTAATTCTCAGTGTTGCATGAAGGAGAGATGGGAAGACCTGATTCAGCTATGCAGGCACGACTGCAGGATCGTTCCCGCTGTCTTGCTGCTGGGTTTCCTTTGAAATAACTCCAGTGAGGTTTTTGCTGCTGTCCTCAAGGGAGACGGCTCTCTCCACAACTTAATGGATCACCTCATTAGGAAACAATTGGCTGTTCTGTCTGCCTACTCTGGGCACAGTCACACTCTGGAGACAGAATAGGCATGGGAAGGCTTGTTTTGGAAGAGAGAGGGGGTGTTTTGTGGGAACAGTTATTTTTTGTTCTGTTTTGACAAACTAGATTTGTTTTTATCCTGTGCCAAGCAATGCTCCGTAAGCTCTCTGACAGTGGGTGTCTGGATATGAGCAGGGGAAGGACGATAGCATGCTTGAGAAGGCTTGATACATAGCAGGGATCTGCTCCACAAGACAAGGAGAAAATGCTGGTAACCCATTTAACGCTTCAGTCTGGATGTGACTTAGTGACACTGGTAGCTCTCTCTGCACAGTGATGCTGAGCCTGGTGCCCTCTGTGAGTGGGGCTTGCAGCAGCAGCCTCAGAGCTAGCTAGCAAGCCAGGGGAGCAGGAACAGACTGTACATGGTGAACCTGCACTCTCAGACCTGAGCATCTGCTTCTGCACTCCGTAACAGAGAGCTTACTGTGCTAGATGGACCTCTGATTTCATCTCATATGGCTGCTATGTTAAGTTTCACCATCTGGATGTTTTTTATTAGAGAATAGGGTTAAACAGCCTCAGATACTGTATGTGTATCTTCTCCCTGAAGGACGTGGAGCAGCGGGGAGGCACCGAGCACGAGGCTGTTTCAGATGCCTCCCATCTAACTCCAAGTGTGGAGACATCAAAGCTGAAGTCACAGCATGCAATGACCCCTAGCGAGGGACACATAACATAACATACACTGATCTGTGCTGCTTCTCCAGGACACCAAAATGGCTACAAAGCAGGCTCTGGGCACCATGTAGTGCAGCTTAGGCTTCAAGCAAGTAGGTGAAAATAGTGCCTACCTTTGGATAAATATATCTTTGCTCTTTAATGGGGATAAACTTGATGAGGTTGTTTAGTAGGCTTTGGTTTAATCTTTTGTAAATGTTATTTTAAGCACTGTACTTGGTTTAAGTTCCCCATCTCTGCTTGCCATGACTCCTCCACAAGGATCTGCTTGTGCACTTGAGACTGGGGGACAGTTTGGTGGGCATGGAAAAGCCACTAGGATGTGGTGAGAGCACCATGGCTTGAGGGCAGCCCAGGGAAGGGTGGCTTTGAGCCAGGAGGATGCTGCAGTGCGAGGGTGTGATAGTAGGTGAGCACTGGGAGTGAAATCTATGCCAACCCAGTAGATTTGGAATTGCTTAGTGTGGAGGGGAGGGGAGCTGTGAGGTGCGGAGGTGTTCAAAATGCCAATTTGACGAGTTAGTTGGCTGGTGGGCTTTCTCACTTGGGTGCGTTGTTGCTTTTTCTCCTTTTGCTTTCGGCCCCCACATAGCCCCCACCTGGAAATTGTTGCTTGTGCATTGAGGTTGTGTGAGCCCAGCTCGCCCAGCAGCAAGTGAGCTTCCTGCCACAGGCAGCGTGTGGCTGCTGCTTCAGAAATAGAAACCATGTCTGCTCAGCTCTCTTCTGTGATGAGAACAAGGCTGGTCCAAGTCAGCTGAACTGGAGATTGTTGTGTTACATTGTGTTACAGGTCTCCATTTTCATAGTGCCCACAGTTGTAGGGAGGGAAGGGGCTGTTCCACCACACAAAACACTGCTGATACAAAGAAGTGCAGGACTCTTAACCTCTTACATGTTACAGGGGGCAGTTCCTAAGCTGTATGCTGTCCTTGCAGGTCCGAAGAATGGTTGGGGCTCTAGTTGCAGTTGGCCAGGGAAAATTGGCACCTCATCATATAAAGGAGCTGCTGGAGATGAAGGATGCAAGGGCTCTTCCACCATTTGCCATGGCTCCATCGTCTGGACTCTTCCTAAAATCAGTGGAATATAATGAAGCAGGTAAGGGAATGCCAGGCAGTGACTTTATGTCTGTGGGAGTCAGACCTCATACCGAAAGGAACAGAAGCCCCCACAGTCCTCCTTTTTGTGCCATTTACAGCAGTTGCTATGGAAAATGAGTGTTAGTTTTTTCCTTGTAGATTTCTTCCCCTTACTTGCAAGGTAGTGAAAGAGAAATCATGCTCACATATTAGCTTTCTTAATTTAACAGTTTCTAAATCATAAACAGTGAAGATTTTTAGTTTAGAAAATAAGAATAAAAAGGCAAACGTGCAGAAGATATCGGCAAAGTTTGGTATTCTTGTTAGGGATGGAAGGTATTAAATATTGCAAGGAATTTAATGCAGGCAGAATTTGGTAAAATGATGTTGAGAGCAAAGATATCTTTGATTGTAAATCAAACTCTGTGTTATCGTCTTACTAAAGATGAAAATTATAGCAATAAACATGTTGCTTTTGATGAGATCACTGAGAATCTCCAGAAGGCAGAGGCATCGAGTTATTTCCTGGCTCCCTTATTGCTACAGGAGGTGCTAATATTAAAACCACGGTCCCTTCTCTTGTTGCTGAGATGAATGTGCTGCCCACCATGGGGCTGACACCACCTTTCTCCTGCTGCAGTGCTGAGGGAGAGGTGCTCTCAGCTTTCAGTTGTGCACTTGCTGCCTGCTTTGTTTCAGCAGTAATCCTTCCCGCAGCCACAAATGCTTCTTCTCCCTTTTAGTCCTCAGTTACTCCAGTGCATAAAAAGGACTTCCCAACACACTGCAGGCCTCTTCCAGGCTGCCTCATCCCAGGCAGAGCACAGACCTCCTGCAGTGGGCTTTGGGAATGCTGTCTCCTGCTGCAGCTGTGCACACACTGGGGCTTCAAGACCGAAGGGAAAGGGAAGCGACAGTGAGCGGTGCAGGGAGCTTGAGCACAACACTTGGCCTGGCCACGAAGAGGCAGCTGCTGCTTGTGGCTTTGGGCCTTTCTCCCTGGTGGTGCATTTCCTGTTCATGCTGGCTGTGGAGCTGCCTGTGCCAGTGGGGAGGGAGCCCAGGCAGGAAATGAAGACCACAGACTTTAAGAGCTTTCAGTGCCATCTTTTTCCCTAAATCAATGTTTTCTTTTTTTTCCCCCTCTCAGATTTGCAAACAACAGCAGCCCAGGGAGAATAGCAGCTCTGTCAGCCATGTCTGAAAGGACTGTTGTTGTGGATATGGGATGGAGGTTTGCAGAGCTCTTTATGCAATACGCGGTCTTGTCTCAATAAACATCACTGACTGTAGGCATCTTCCCATCGTTTGTTTGCTAAGGGGAAATGAAGAATGATGCTGCTTTCAGATTACTGCTTTTTTTTTTCCTTTTTCCCTGATGTGTTTTCTCATGTTTTTGTTTTGTTTCAATCTTGCCTGCTTGCCCAAGCAACAGCACACGCGTTGGGTAATGTGTGTGGGTTGCTGTATTGTTTTTTCTTTAATCATGAATGACACCAGAATCACTGGGTTATAAAACGGTTCTTGGAATGCTGAGTTACAGGAAAGTGGATGAAAGTTGTGACCTCTGAAGAAACAGCGCCCAATTTAAACACTTGCCTGTAGTGGAAGCCACGTGCAGCTCAAATGCCTGGTACCATCATTATTAGTCTCTCCTTTGTCTGTGAGAGGAGAAGAATTAGAGAGCTGAGAGTTCATCGTAGCTCATCTGGTGAGGGGATGTCCTTTGTTACGTGGCAATTCAAAGCATGCAGGTAATGAAGGAGGAATATTAATAACCCTGAAGGATTAAGGAGCTTCCACGCACTGGGTGGGTGGTGAAGGTGCAGGGGGGACGCAGCACCTCCCTGATGTCTCTTAAGGCCCTCAGCAGGGAGACTGAGCTTAGTGGTTGGTGCTGCAGAGGACAGGCCAGCCCATCTCTGAGTGCTCCCCAATGTGAAGTGATGCATATCCCCTCACTCTGCTTCCAGAGACCAACATTTGACAGCATGAGAAGGAGAGGGAGGAAACTTCTGCTTACTCTTACTTGCTTGGGGACCAGTTTCCAAAGACAGAACTTTGGAGGAGTTTTAACAGAAGAGAACTGAAGCCACTGTGGTGCCAGTATGGTACGTGTTTGTGTTTCTCCTGGTAGGGCCTTGCTGCCTAAGTACCTAGAGGTATGGATGCTGTGCTTTCAGGGCAAGCAGTGGCACTTTTCCATTTGTGATCCAAACCTGAACGCGTGCCCATGTTTCAGACAGGGAACAGCAGTTAAGTCTTGCTTTTCCTTCCCTTGAAGGGAAGGGAAGTGAGAGCGTTGGGCTAAAACACTGGCACAGAGGTGGGCTGTGCTCTCCTGGGGCTGACAAGCAGGCTGAAGGTGGCTGTGTGTGGGAGCAGGGTGCCTGCAAATACATGCAGGGAAGCACAGCACGCACTGCTGCTGGTCACAGGCTGCATCCTCACCTTGGTCCTGTAAGGGAAAGTCTTGCTGGTGGGGCAAACGCTGTGCCTGCATGGCAGTGACAGCTTTTCTTTCTTCTTCACTTCCTGTGGTTTCTCTGCAGCACAGTGTGGGTGAGCTCAGCTGTGGGTCTATCAGCACAGCTTGTTCTGGTGTTCACAGCGTGCAGTGACCTTGTAGCTGTGAGTGCAGACCCTGAGAAGGCAGCTTTTGTGTGAGGCGATGGCCTGAAGTCTGGTAAGTCACCTTTCTGATTGATTTATTACGCAGCTTTATTGGGCACAAAACTGAACCAAAGAGAAACGCTCCTCAGACAAGCTAGCTCCTGCTGCAGGCTCAGGTATTGCAGCAGGGTTTTAATAAACGCAGTACAAAAATACCTGCTTTCTGCAAATGTTTCCTAAGTTCTGGTTATAGTCAAAAAAACCAATTGTGCTTATGGGCTTGCTAGCTGAGCAACCCAAATTCAGCTATCCACAGTGGGCTGGAGGTGGCTGGCTCTGTGCTTAGCAGAGAGAACTGTACTTTTTGTCACTAATACTTGAGTGTTAGCTTTCAGCAGGAGGGGGCTTGGTGTTCTTTTCCTTCTGTTGTTGCATTACCAGTTCCTTTCAATTGGAGCAGTTTGGGCATCCAACACAGGCCTGTTCTGTCGTTCTGAGTGCTTGACAGCGACGCTTTGAAGCCAAAACCAGGAAAACCTCATGCTTGACTTAGGGTTCAAAGAAAAAAGCTTGGTTTTACATGAAGATAATCCTATTAATTTAATGAATTCAAAGCCTGGTGTAAACTTTGATGTATGGTTTGCTGTAGTTTTGTAAATCAAGTAATTTGCACAGAAGTACAATGGTGTTTTCCAGTTGTTCATAGGAAATATTTGAAGGTAAACAGGGATAGCCCCTGCCCTTCCCCACTCGTCCTTGGAGAAAATTACCTCTGGGGAAGCAAAGCTGGATGTGGAATTTGGTCAGACTCCTTGCTTTAAAGTGGTAGGTAAGGAAATCACACATTACTGTAAGAGATGAATTTGGCTACATGCCTGGAAAATAATTTACTCCTAGCCTGCATCACTTCTATTACCTCTCTCATTGAGAATGAAAACATTTTCAAGCACATCAATACATGGTGGTGTCACACACAGCATATCTAACTGTTTTGAAATGGCTGAAAGACCAACATGTGAAATATTGGATGTCTGATTTTTTTAAGGTTTTTTCCCCCTCTCTTTTCCTGTTGCTTCCTTTTGCTGTAGTTCAGCTCCAGTGGGTTTGAATACATGACAGGCTGCACCAAGGTACAGTCAGTGTTTTTACACAAGCTTTACCTGTTACTGCCTGGCTGAGGCCTCAAGAGTTGCCCAGTTTCCACTCTCAGCACACAAGACGTAATGTGAGCTCCTACTCCAGATGAGGAGGGATTTAAGGGATCAAGTGAGCCTACAGCTAACAATATTAGTGTAGTGTCATGGTGCAGACAACTTCTGTGCCTCTGTAAGGCCATGTAGCCATCCTGCAGGGAGCTGAGGGGCAATGGTTTTAGGCAGTCTGTCAGCAGTCTGATCGAGCTTGAAGCACGCAAACGTTTTGGTGCAGCTCTTGGAGAACCTTGGGATGCTTTTCTCCATAACATAAACAAGTGCTATTTGGAAAAAAATGCTGTTGTTTTGGAGCTGTTGCCTGGTAATATCTAGAGATGTCTTGATTGTGCTTGTGAGAAGCAGAAGCTAATCTCTCCCCTCTGTGCTTTGCTCCTTCAGTGATTTTACCTTTTTTTGCCTTATCTTTCCCCAGCTGCAACACGGTCAACTGTAGAGCAGAGATGTTCAGTGGCAAAACTGAGATAAAGGCTGTTTCAAGTTCAGTGTGCCTGTCGTTCTGGCTTAGCACATGCTTGGCTTTGTTCTAATTAATTTTCCTCTGTTTGTGTACATGCAAATACTGTGCTGTTTGGTGAAAGACCTGTGTGAGCAGATACGTACCTTTGCCTACCTAAAGTGAAACTGTTTTGTTCCCTACAACTTCCAGTTGTAATCTTCAGTGCTTTTGACTGCAGTAGGTAAATAACTATTGGGAGGAAGTGCAATTTCAGCATTTCCTTTGGAAAGTACCGAACAACCTTTGTGTTTTCATGCTTTCAATGGCTCAGCTTGAGACACTTCATTAAAATGAGGATCATTTTTTCCACTCTGTTTAAGGACTTCTTCAGTTAAGGTGTCTCTCTTTTGATCAGTTACTCAGATTCATGTAAGCAGTGTTCTCTTCTCCAGCAGGTTTATGTGAGTGAGTGACCTAGATGAGGGGCATCCTACTTGTGTAGTGCCTCTTTCTCCCTATTTCAAACACAAACTCCTCTTTTAGGAGCTCCCTTCTGTTAACTCAGTACTGCTATCTTGTGTTGAAACACCAGCAAATAATTGGGCTGTTGTATAACCTCCAAATGCTCATGTTTTAAATGATTTATCCTCTTACAGCAACATCACTTTCCACCTAACTTGACCAAGCACAGCTGCCTGAAACGTGCCATCAGATCTAACATCACTGATAAGCACAGCTTTAGTTCTTAACCACGTGAGAAGAAATCACACTTCAAACTCAAGAACCTCATGAGGTAAGGAATGGCTTATAACTTTTATCCTGCTGGATATCCCTACACCTCAACAGAAATCATGGCAAACGTTTCCTGGACTGAAGATGTCTCCAACAGGACAGCTGTCAGGTTGGAAGCAGACTTCCAGTATTCCTTGTTTACTGTTATTTACAGCATTGTGTTCGTGCTGGGACTGATAGAAAACGTCTCAGCTCTGTACCTCCTGTCTAACAAAGCAAGGCATACGTCTCCTTCCTACATCTGCATGATAAACCTAGCTCTGGCAGACACCTTGTTTGTTTGCATGTTGCCTTTTAAAATTCATTACCACCTGAATTGGAACAACTGGATCTTTGGTGACATGGCTTGTAGGATCACTGGGACTCTGTACTACATCAACATCTATCTAAGCATTGTCTTTTTCACCTGCATCTGCGTCGATCGTTACGTTGCAGTGCTGCACCCCTTCACGTACATCCAGATCAGAGTCACTCACTACGTGGGGGTGGCCACACTCCTTTGGGTGGTTGCCCTGAGCATCATGGTTGCGCTCATTCTCGGTGGTCCCCTCCACAACAGCGGGCCCAGCAACACCACCATGTGTTTTGAGAACTTTGCAAGGAGCAGCTGGATTTCTCGCATGGCCCTTTACAACGTCCTGGCCTTGGTTTTTGGTTTTGTCATCCCGTTTGCCATCATTCTGATCTGCTACCCTCTCATTGCGAGGAGGATCTCCCAGATCAAACACAGCATTCGCAAGAGGAAAGCTCTGACGACCATCTACATCATCTTGCTCATTTGTACTTTCTGCTTTCTCCCATACCACCTCACCCATTTCCTCCACTTCTTAATGAGAATCCAGGTCATCCAGAACAAGTCATTTACTAACCTGATCTACAAAATGCGACGGGTCACCTTAGCCCTGGTGAGTTTCAACTGTTGCCTCAACCCTTTCTTGTACTACTTCACTTCTTCTAGCAGGACGTGGCACTTCAACTTCAGGTTCAGATTCAGGTCTAAAATGGTGTACACCATCTGTGATCAGAAACTCGGAGAGCACTCCTATATTTATAAACTACACCAGAGACGTGAAAATAAAAAACAGAGAGATGGAATCAACTGACCTACTCCAAGTAAGTACACTAGCCATCTTTCTAACTGTTGCTTGAAATCAAACCTGTGATACCTATCATTCTTGCATACAGTGGTTATTACATCAAGGCAGCACTGGAGGAAAGTGTCTGATGGTTATATATTTTTGTTAGCCAACTACAACAGCACTTGAGGGAGCCTGTAGTCCAGATCAAATATGCTGAGACACCATATTCATGTACATTGGTGTTCTTGCCTGCTTGGGACATAAGGCTTGGTTCTGGAATGCAGCACAGGAAAGGGTTACTTAAAACAAACCAGCCTCTTTATTGATGCTAACCCTGAAAGCTGAGTGGATCCCTGCAGTCCTGCTTGGCTTTTCCCTTTTTTGGAGGGATCCTGTGGTTTCTCCCTGGGTGTACGCCGTAGTCAGCTGTGTTCTCAAACTGCCTACATTCCACAGCCAAATAAGGGCTGCTTCTTCCCTTCTTATGAATCAGTTAATTGGCTTCCTGAGGAGTACTTGGGCACAGGCACTGTAGAATCACATGCCTGTAGAGTCAAGCTGGCCATCTCTTAAAAACATATTAGAAGATAACAGATGACAGCATTTATCAGTTAACCCTGTGGTAAACAAGCTCCAATCCATGAAGTCACTGGGGAAAGTCAGTGTTCCTACACAACTTGCACAACTTACACTGTGCTGTACTGCTCAAACGTCAAAGCTTTTCTTTTTTAATGACTGATGAAGTGATGATGATGTGTCTGACCCATTTCACCCTTTCTCCTGTATTAACAGAATCACAGAGCTTCAGAGAACTGCTGAGTTTTCTACCCACAGAGTGGGACTACACCATCACGAGAGGAAAGAATTTATCATTCATGAGTTACCAAACACCAGAAAGCCACGACTGACTCAACTTGCTTAAAAGCCAGCAACTTTACAGGATGAGATTTTGGTAACAGCTGAACATCTTTCCATCTTCCTATGCCTTAACAAACAGTGGAAGGACTTCTAACACTGCAGGGACTTCTCTGCAACTAACCACAAATGTTATGGTGTGGACAAAAGAGGATTTTTTTTTTTTTAAATATATTTTACTAGAACCTACATCAAGAAGGTGCAGGTATCTTTAAGGCTTGTCAGCTATTATTCATGCTTCCCTCAATGAAAGTGAAGCTGCTGGGTAAACAACATGTTTAAAGCTTCGTACTTCTGCCTACGTTATATTTCTGCTTTGCATTTTAATTTTGAAGCTTTGAAAGCTTCTTGTTTTGGCCCTTCAGCAAGAAGACTCCCTGATAATAACCTTTAATGACACCCTTAATGGCTAAAGCCCAGAAAGCTGTTCTGCCCCATGCACAGAACCCAGGCCTTCAGGTCAGTGCAGGGCTCACTGCGTGGCTGTTGCTTCTAGTTACATTTGTGAACAAAAAGCTGGAATGGCATTTAAAGAAAATGAGCTGTGGGAGTAAAAGAATGCTGGATCTCTTACCTTACTGTGTAAGTGATGTGAAGTTTGTTCTTCAGGACTTCTTAAGAACAGGCTGCAGTGACAACCTAGCCCTGTTTCCAAATAGAGGAAGACTGGTACTGCTGAACACTCTCACTGTGGCTAATGAACAGACACTGAAGTTCCTTTTTCAAATGTTTCTCTAGTTCTGTTTTAATAACGTAAACAAAATAAGATCTGTACTTTTCTGAAGCACCAACTGTGCCTGCTGCTCTGTGGCTCAAGATGTGCTCTGGGGCAGTCCCTTTTTCAGCAGGGATGTGAGATAGCTGCCTAATTCTTCATCCTATAGAAAAGAAAATCAGGTTGAGAGCGATTGTCCACTTGACTCCCATTTCTGCTATCTAGAATTAGGCTAAAATAACTCTTGGATGCAACAGCAGCAGTGTTCAAATATGGAAATGAATGCAGTTAGCACAAATGTATTCCTAGGTGTTCTTTCAAAATACAAACCTAAAACTTGTGGTTGTCAAATAAGGTGTCTGGATCTCCAAGTTCTCCCTTTTAGAATAAATGATTATTTTTCTTAAAAGCAAAGAATGAAGATCTGTTGAATTGACTTTTTTTTTTTTTTTGCTCTGCTCTCAAGGCACTTCCTCTCTATTGAAAAAAAAGCACTCAAAATGCAGCTGTAAGGAATATATTCTTGAGGAAAACAACTATCTAATCTGAGCACAACTTTGTCTTAATGAACTTTCTGGTTCCAGGATGAAGTTTTATTCCTACTTCATAAAATGCCCACCCTCTATTGCTACCCTGCAGGCCTGTTTTGGACTGAAAGATGTTAAGACCAATTAGAATTGGTTGTAATGTATGTTTTCAAGTATTCCTACCTGGTAAGTCCAGGATACGAGCAGAACTTTGGTTCCTTGATCCTCTGAGTGTGCTGTGGCTTGGATAAGAATGGATTCAACTGTTATAGAACCATCAGGGAGATGCTGCACTGAATAATCCTTCAGGACCCTGGTGAGACAGAAGGTATTAAATTTATTTTGGAGGGGACTGCATTAGCTTGCCAAGAGCATGAGTGCATCTGCTGATTAGCAGCCCCTGCTACTGAAGTGTAACTGCTCCTCTGGTCACAGTAGCTAAATAGATTGAGGTCTGGAGCAGTTACTCTCTTTGGGGATGCAGGAAATTTTCTTCAATCAGTCTGGAAGGGCTGCCTCTCTTAAGAATGATGCAATCATTCAGCCCAAGGGGAAAAACCAGCCAAGTTACCCTTTGAGGTGGTTGTACACACGGAGCACGGTCTCGTGTTCTTTCCGCGGGTCCTGAATGTGAACACGGCAGGTGAAGCGCAGCTGGTGCTCTGCAAGGCCCAGCTCCTTCAGGGCCTGCTCAGGAGAAACCAGGCGGAAGCTCTGCAGAGGAAGAGTGCAAACTCATTCCAAACTATTTCCTTGTGCACGCTTTATTTCCCCCTCTGCAGCCCCCAAGCGTTACTTACGTTGTCCTTCATGATCAGCGTGCCATGCATAAGCTTTGGCTTCTTGGCATCTGGTAAGAGACCTAAGCCAAGGGAAGAGAAAGACAACAGGGTTAATGATACCATGTTTAACACATCTAAGACAACTGCTCTGGACTCCATGGATTTCCAAGTCTCAGCTGAGGCCTGCAGACTATGACATCTTTGTTCATCTGTGCCTTAAAACAAAGCTCACGGCGTTTAAGTCATTGCTGGGGCTCCAGACATGTAAGAAACAATGTCCAGAACTACACCTCAGCTGCCTCTCTCTTCTCATATCATTTCCTAATATGAGAAGCTTTAAGATTACATTGAATTTATTTAAGTAATTCCAGTCCTCAACAGCAAAAGCACACAAGCTTCATTTTCATAGCAAATGGGCAATGAGAAGCAAGCAAGGTAACTTTGGGCCTGTTTTGTTGCTGTTTTTAAGCACTGTTGAACACCCATCCCCAGCACAGCAGCTATCTCACTTCACAGAAGCCCCTCTCACCCACTCAAACACTGTACAACCTGTTCTGACACAGGAAGGACTGCTACAAATAGCCCTGCAATTGCATTCGAGGGGCAGGACCCCAAATATCTGATTCTTGGTTGAAAAAAACGTGTCACCTATTGCTGTTTCTCTCTTCAGGAGTCCCAGGGAGATGTCCACTGGAATGCTGGGGTTGGTGAATATAGTCGTGGTCTCTCCATTTGCAGGCATGTAACAGCTGACATCTGCAGTGTAAAGAAACAGTGTTAGGATGGTGCAGCCCTCTGATGCCCATAACAAAGTACTGAAAAGTAAACAGCCACCCAGCGTGCATTCTCTGCTTTCTCTGCTCATCTTTTCAGTCAGGAATTATTTTTTCCCACCTCATCTGGACTTCATTCCCCATAATTAACGTTGCTAAATTAACATTTCTGATACATGCCTGCCTCTGCCATTTTTAAGTCTGAAGAAATACAAATGCAGTAAATGCTGAACCATAGCAATGCAAACAGAACATCACAGTGTAACACCACAATCACAACGTTCCACCACTTGAAGCCTAATGGCCATTAAAATTGAATGGTCTTCATATGTCAGTATACACTACAGATACTGATTTCTTGAGGCTGACAGGTCCTGTAAATCACGCCATTCCTAACTCTAAGCTGATTACCAGTAAATTAATTATGTAAACATAAAGCTTTCCTTCTACTGTTTTCAGTACCAAAAGTCTACGTACGAAATTCCTGCTCTATTTTCTGCTTCAAAAACTCCATTTTCTTTGCTTCCCCGTGGACCAGCAGGACATTGCGTGGCTCAGCCTGGCGAATCAGCTGCATGATTCCCTTGGCATCAGCGTGGGCACTGAAGGACATGTACTCCACCTGCATCTTTACTTCCAGCTGCAAGAGGAGGGGTGGGAAGCAGAGGTGCAGTGAATCAGGAGCCACTTTGCCTTGTATACCATGTGCAAACTGACTGAGACCTCTCCACGTTTACTTTAAGGAAGATCACTTAGATTGGGAACATCTCTCCAACCTAATTTCCCAATCCAAGTGTTCCATGCCCTTGGACTGGGAAATTCAGGTGAGGAAGAAAGCTGCTGGACAGCAGAAGTGAAACACATCGATATTAAGAAAAGCTCCCAGTAACTCAGAGTCAAATTGCATTTTCAGAGCACAGTTCCTTCCACACATCTGCCAAAACACAACACTCCAGTAGGCTCAGGATCAGCTTCAATAGCCCCTTCAGTGTGAAACTGTATCACTGCTACCTGACTGACAGGGTCTGCTTACCAAACGAAGTCATTAATACTCCTCTGATAAAAACCATGGGCAACAGAATGGCTGAGAAGGCACACTATTGCCAAAGCAATGACAAAACAGCCCAGTTTCATTCTGATTGAAATGTTACTCAGGTTTTTCCCATGTTACATGCAGCACATTCCCCTATAGATATATATTTATAACACATGGTGTCTAACTGCCACCTGAAGTCCCAAAAAGCTTCCCCAAAACAATTCTCATTGAAAATAAAACTTACTATTTGCCTTCCCTCCATTTCCAGCTTGCGTTGTCCACTCAGAATCTTATGGCCCACCGTTCCCTGCACACAATAGCCCGGCATGATGACCTGAGAAAGAAACCAGGATCGTTTAGCCCCACACCTTAGGAAAACCTTTGTTCTTACAATGCTATCTGCAACAGTATCACATGAATACAAAACATCACTTAGGAAACAGAATTTCTTACCATATTCTTTTCATTCCCTGCCCATTTCCTGAAGATCTGCAGGGACTGCCCTGCATGAAGCATACCAGGTGTTGCAAACACAACCTAGAATCCAAAGACGTGTCAAAAACAACAGCAGAAAAAACACGTGTTTATTCAAAATATCATTACATATAAATTTCCTAAAACTGTGGAGAGGATCTACTAAATAAACATTACACCACACTTACTACAACAAGGCTGTAACGGGGCCTCAACTGTTAATGCCAACCTACCATTGGTCCTGGATTATCTGCAAAGGCTCTATCAAATGCTTTGATGTGTTTGAACTCAAACATGTTTCTCTGCACAAATGTCTTCCGGATTTTCTGATTAGTCCATGTGATGAAGAGCTTGTAATAGTGATTAGCCTTCTCTGTCAGTCCAGTGGAAAAATAAATTGGAGCTTTCAAGTTCATTCTTTCCCTGGAGAAAGAAGAGATCCAGACACAGGTGAGGACCAAATTAGTATCTTAGCTCTCTGTGCTCAAAGTCCACGAATCTCTGTAGTCTCCAAAGATTTCTGGGCACAACACGCTCTCAGGAAACCACCAGTCAATATTTTGGCAATCCTGGATCGTTATGCATTTGCTTTGGTACTACCAGAAACATTTCCATACGATGCTTATAAGAAAGTTGAACGCTTTTTTTTTTATCCTTCTTTCTTCCCTTCCACGTAAAAACAGTTTCACAATGTGGCAAAGATGCCATCAAACTATTTAATGGTCCCAAGTGCTTGGGGAAGGAGGAGAGAGTGATCCTGGAGAGGACATGTTCAGTTTAATGCTTAGAGTCAGAAACACTGATAAATAAGTGACACGTGGAAAGAAGCACTTCTCACTATGGGCCAACGTGCAGAGAAAAACTAAGGAGGGTATTTGTACCAAACAGAAAAGAATTGTAGAAACCTTGAGGACATCAACGTGAAGAGGACAAGGAGGAAGAACGTGCACCAAAGAGACTGCACTCACCAGAACGTTTCCAATAAAATACAAAGTTCCTGGGCACGACCAAGGGCAAAAACTGGGATAAGAACCTGCAACAGAGACATGATTTAGTCTATGTATCCTGAAGAGCACACAGATAGCACTGCAGCATTACCAGTGCTGAACAAGAGCTTCACAGGGAGCAGAAAACACATCACTCATCAGAGTGCTCTACCTTTCCCCCTCGTTCCACAGTCTCATGAACTTTCTTCAGGAAGTCTCTTTCTCTGCAGCGTTTGGAGTCTCTGATAGTTGTGGCATAGGTGGATTCTGTTATTAATAAATCAGGGCGACACTTATCAATCCAGGCAGCACTGAAACAAAAGGGTTTTTTAATGAGTCATCAAATTAAGAGCCAGCATCCATCACTTCTCTGCAGGTCTCGGCTGCACAACATCACTATCTCCATGTGGAGGTAGAATTTAACCCAGCTCAGAATAGAGACCAACTCCATGGATTTTGAAAAGCAATTTTTCAGTCTGTTATTTAATTTTTTTTATGCTTCCTAAGCTTTATGAATGTTAAAAAACTCTCACAGCCAGTAAAAAGAAAAGCAGTGTTAAAGGTGGTGACTGGCACTCTCTTAAAAATCAAATGCTTGTGGAAGATACCACAACAATAAAGCATTTCAAACATTAAATCCAATTACCACACAGCCTTAAAATGGATTAATATGAGTACAGAGAAAAAGATTACATTAAGGTCTGTCCTGGGGACTCAATTTAACTCTGATCCTCGTAATTCACACTTGCATTTATCTTTGCTGGAAAGACATCATTAAGCATCCCAGTCTCCCAAAGAACAAAGGATCAATGCTGGTAAGCCCCCATGTATTAACAGAAGCTGTGGTAAAATTGCCCTGCTTGAAATAAATACAATTCACAGAAACTCAGCTTCCTACTTACCCTAGATGTCTGTCTGGTGTCATGTTATAATCACCCTAAGAGAGGAAAGGAAATCCATTCATTTTCTCAAGCTAATGGAACAGCCTATTAAAAGGAAACGTAGGCATCTGTAACTCCTGCTGTGCATACTTACAGTGTACACAACCGACTCACATCCAACCTTGATCTGGAACATGGCTGCTCCCAGCACGTGGCCTGCATAGTACGCCTTGATCTCCAGCTCCTCATCCACCTGCAACACGTGCAAACACCGTGGTAAGCACTTCACAAACAGAAAACTGCTCTGCCTTCCACAATAGTTCAGTAGGTCCAATCCAAGCCTATGCAGAAATGGTCGTTTACCTGAACTGTCTGATGAAGATGCACAGCGACCACTTTTTTCATGCAGTCCTTAATCATCTGGGACGTGAAGAAGTTGGTCTCCCCTTTCTTATCTACAGTTATTTTCCTGTAGTCCTCCAGGAGGATAGGACAGATGGCCTTGGTAGGATGTGTCATATAAATGGGCCCATCGTAGCCAACCATCTCACTGAAATAGGGGAGAGCTCCACAATGGTCCAAATGGAAGTGGCTGCAAAAGAGACAGAAAGGATAAAGACATCACATAGCAACTTAGATTGGTTCTCACGGCTTGCTTCACCTCTTCAAAGCACTCCACAAAATAAAAGAACTTTTCTTTTTTTCCCTTTAGAAACAAAACTTGCCTACTTCCCATTTCAGCTGTGATCAGAAAGGAAGCTTTCTCACCTGATGATCACACAGTCTAGAAAGTCAGTCAGCCTCCCATTCTGAGTAATGTAGGAAAAGTCAGGAAAGCGCCTCTGCAAAGAGGTGAAGAGCAGGTTACCAACCCAAAACAAAGCCTTAGTGCTACATCATTAACTGCAGGGACCACCAGCAGGAACCACCTGCTACACTGGATGCTGTAACCCATCTCAAGGCAAGACTGAGCTGCTCTCAGCAACACTGTAAGAGCTACAGGCAATGCCACGGATACTCACTCACATGCATGAAGAGTCAGAAGGAAAAAGGATGAGCTCCTCTACAGACTGAGGGAGCAGGGCTTGTTCAGCCTGGAGAAGAGAAAGCTGCACGGAGACCCTACTGAGGCCTTTCAGTGTTTAAAAGGGGATTATAAAAAGGAGAAGAACCAACTTTATACAATGGTAGATAACAATAAGACAGGAGAAATGATTTTAAGCTCAAGGAGGGAAGGTTTAGATTGGATATCAGGGGGAAGTACTTCACAGAGAGAGTGCTGAGGTGCTGGAACAGGCTGCCCAGAGAGGCAGGGGATGCTCTGGAGGTGTTAAGACCAGGCTGGATGGGGCTCTGGGCAACCTGGTCTAGTATTAAATGTGGAGGTTGGTGGCCCTGTCTGTGGCAGGGGGTTGGAACGAGATGATCCTTAGGGTCCCTTCCAACCCAAGCCGCGCTACGATCCTACAAGAGGACAACCAGCGCCGCCTACGAACAGATAAACCGTGCGCTCCTCCCTGCCGTACTCACGTCATCGTTGTAGCCCATGTGCATCCCGCAGTCCAGCATCACGTTTTTCCCCGCGATGGACACCAGGATGCAGCTGCGCCCCACGTCCTGCCCGGCGCCTGCAGCGAGTCAAGGGGGCGCCATAACGCGGCTGCTCCGCAACGCTCGGCGCGGATCCACGGCGGGGGCCCGAAGGCGGCACTTACCGAGCGGCGTCACCTTGATCTCGGGCATTTTAACCCCCCTCAGAGCTCAAAGCGCGGCCGGGTTCTTCTGGAAACGGCCTACGAGGCGGCGCGGCCCGGATTCTTTTACGGCCACATTGCAAGGGCTGCTCAAATAGAAGGGGGTTTAGCTTCGATCTGGATAGAAAGCGTTCCGAAAGCAGCGCTCAAAACACCGAGGCCCGCAGCCGCAGGCGGACGCCGCTCCGTCGGTGCCGCCCCGCTCCCGCCCTTCTCCTCAACGTCCCGCGCACGCGCGGTTCCTCCCGCCCGGCAAGATGGCGGCGGCGCCGGGCGCCTTCAGCCTGCGGGAGGTGCTGGCCGCCTTCCAGGCGTGCGTGACGGAGCAGCGCGAGGTGCTGCTGGGCCCGTACCTCCAAGGCTGGCGGGGACTCGTGCGGTGAGTGCGGGACCGGGCGGGGAGGACGTTGCGAACGTGAGGCAGACGACCGAGAAGGCCAGCGGCATCCTGGGCTGCTTTAGAAAGAGCGCGGGCAGCAGGAGCGGGGAGGCGATCGTCCCGCTGTACTCGGCAGTGGTGAGGACACGCCTCAAGTATTGCCTTCAGTTTTGGGCCCCTCGCTACAAAAAAGACATTGAGGAGCGTGTCCAGAGAAGGGCAACGAAAGCGGTGAGGGGTCTGGAGCACGAGTATTACAGGGAGAGGCTGAGGGAGCTGGGATTGTTGGGTCTGGAGAAGAGGCGGCTCAGGGCAGACCTCACTGCGTTCTGTGATTACCTGAAGGGAGGCTGCGGTGAGGAGGGGTTTGGCCTCTTCTCCCAGGCAACAAACAGGACCTGAGGAAATGGCCGCACGTTGTGCCAGAGGTTTAGGTTAGACATGAGGAAGAATTTTTTCTCTCAGAGAGTGGTCAGGTGCTGGAATGGCTGCACAGGGAGGTGGAGGAGTCGCCATCCTTGGTAGTGTTCAAGAGGAGCCCGGATGAGGAGCTGCGAGATGTGGTTTAGTGCTTGTGGTCGCAATGGTGATGGGAGGATGGTTGGACTAGATGATCTTGCAGGTCATTTCCAACCTTGTGATTCTATGATACACGCTTGGCAGCCGCCGGTTTCTATACACTCCATTTATCCCTTCAGCTTCCTGAACGGCTTGGGCGCCATCTTCTCCTTCATCTCCAAGGACGCGGTGACCAAAATTCAGATCATGGAGAGCTACTGCGGCGGGGAGCAGCAGGAGGAGTACCGCACTCTGCAGTCCATGGTGAGCTACGAGCTGAGCAGAGGGCTGGTCGACCTGCAACGGCGATCGTCCCACCCTGACTCAGGTTGCAGGACCATTCTGCGGCTGCACCGCGCCCTGCGTTGGCTGCAGCTGTTCCTCGAGGGGCTGCGCACTGCCCGGCAGGATGCCAGCACATCAGCCATCTGCACGGACAGTTACAACGCCTCGCTGGCTGCCTATCACCCCTGGGTCGTCCGCAAGGCTGCCGTCGTGGCGTTCTGTGCGCTGCCGTCACGCGATGCCTTCCTGGAGGTGATGAACGTGGGAGGCCCCGAGGAGGCTGTGAAGATGCTGGGCGATGCTCTGCCCCACATCCGTGATGTGTATGGCATCACGCAGGAGCTGTATGAGCAGCACCGCCTGCTGAACCTGCCCTGAGCACATCCCCATCCCCTTTTTGTAGCCACGCAGAGCTGATGGTGCTCAGCTGTGGTCTGATGACAAAAAGGAAATGCACTAAAATACATACAGTTCTATACATATATCATCACCTCAGCTCTACAGGGAGGAAAAGTGTCCACAAGCACAGTCAAGGGAATGCTTCTCTCCCCCAGGCTCCAATGCGAGGCTTTGGGGTCTTGTTAAGCCAGACTGCACCTTCAGCACTTGTACCACGGAATGGTGACAGCACCAAAGGCTGTAGTAACTCCCTTACACCGGATATCTCAACACCTGCACCTTAAGCTCACTTGGCCACTTTGTTTACAAGCTGTTCCCTTGGAGCTGCTGCTTTCTGCCCCACACTCTGCTTTAGCACTCAAAATAGAATTCTGGGTAACATGTCTGAAAAGAACCTGCTTTAGCACTCAGAATAGAATCCTCCTGTCTGAAAAGAACTGCCTTCCCTTATGGTCACCAACAGACTGTTCCTTTCCATATGATCCATCCTGCAGGGCTTTGCTCATTGTTTCTTCTGTCCTTTGTGTGTCTTGGGGTGTGGACCAGTTCTTCCCGTGTCCTACATAGCACTACATACCCAGCTAAGGCAGCTGACTGTATTTCTTCTCTTAGCCTTGCTTCTAAATGGTCATTTGTTATTTATTTTTAATGAATGTGTCAAATGCCTACAAAAGTAACTTCTCTAACTACAATCACTGCATATAATAGCCAGTATCTATATATGAAGTATGTAAAATTGAGTTTACTTAGCTACTTCAGAGCTGAAAAAGCACAACTCTTTTACTTCAGGAAGACATGAGTGGCTGGGGGAGAATCCCACAGACCATCACGTTTTGGTTTCCTCTCAACTAAGAGCCACTTTGGCTTGAAGTAACACTGCATGATTCAGGAAATCACTATTACCTCACTGGGGTCAGCTGGGCACTACATTACATGATTAACAAGCTGCTAGAGAGTATCCCTTACAGGAATGCTTTCCTTTCTTGCCGTGTTGGAAGAAAGATGAGTTACAGTGTTATCTGTTCATCTCTGTCTTTCACCAGCAGTCTCTCATTCACTGATCAGGTGTGAAACCAACATCAGAAGTAACCCAGACGGAGTACTGAGAATTTGCCTGTACATCCTAAATGGGGGAATGGCTGCTATGCTGTAAAGACAAATACTCTCTTTTTCTGCCAAAGCCACTTCAAAAATAACACAGTTCAATAGAATAAGTCCATAGATTAAAATGGAGCAGTTCCACCATACACAAAATACTTCCTGCTGCGCTCTGTGATTACAGATGGTGCTGGTATTTCAGCTGGTAAAGTGTATTAAATGCCTTAAATTATATCACATAATCTGTGTCAAATGAAGGTATATTTGATGTCTTGTAGATTTAATGCAGGAATGGCAGTGTCACATTTAGTCTCAGCCGTTCCTTGTAGGAGGCAAGCATTACTGTTGAAAATGAAGTTCTGCAATTAAAGAATCAAAGTTTCTCTGCAGGGAAGAGCTCTGTTGTGCATTCATTACCAAAAATTCTGTGCAATGTGTGCTTCAAGTGAAGGGCAGTTTTCCATCAGCCTGCATTTTCTCATTTGAACAAGGTAGCCCCTAATGCAAACGGCGTTCACTTGGGGTCCCCTAGGAAATGTCCCTGCTTCTAAATGACAGGAGCCTTTTGAGCAGCCCCAGCTCACTGACACACAGTATAACACAGGTCCCGAGCTCTGACCCAGTTCAGAGGTTCTGCTGTCACTCATACAGCCGCATCCAAAAGCAAAAGAACCCTTCATCTACAGCGAGTTCTATCCTTGAAAGCTGCAACGACACGCAGGTTCACTAGAGGGAGTCTGAATGTTTTGCACAAAGTCCATCACACAAACCATCTCCCGTCCCGAAGCGAGCCGCCTGGATTCCACCTGGAAGAACAACTGCTTACCAGCACCTCCCATCCTATTCAGAGCTCCGTGCAGCTACGTTTCCATTAAAGGCATTTAAAGTGACATCTGATAATTAAAACTTAATTTTAAGGCTGAAACACTCCACTAAAAGGTTAGGGAAATCTTGTAAGGCTATCCTCAAGGAGATGTTGATGTATTACCTGTACAGTGGGACCGACTTTCTAAGATGCAGAACGAAGATCAGCCTTGTGTCACTTTGGAGGTATAGGAGCAATGTCTGTGATATGGTACAAATGTGAGTCAGAGAAATACAGTAAAATGAATTTTTTCAGTTCAGAGCCATCCTGCTTTCCCTTAGACATGACAGAAAGGCACGCAAACCATGAAGGAACTTAAACCACTGTCTTGGGCAACTGGTACCCATGTCATTAAGCTGAAGTTAACGTCAAAGCTCAGTGGGAGAAATAATTAGATTGGCCAATAAGGACTTGGAGGAGATCTTGGTGCAGTCACAATTAACAGCTCACCAACCTCCAGCCCGGATGGGGTCTGCACTGCTGCATCCTTATGATGTCCTGAGGAGGATTTGGGAATCTCTGTGACGAGGTGACCTTCAATTAAAATAAAACAATAAATGACATCAAGCACCCCCAGCTGTTCTGGGATAACTCAATAACTCACAGCCCCAGCAAGGAGGGGGGCAGAGGGAAGCAATACAGCCCTTAAATCACTGCCTGTGTGCAGCACAGCAGGATGAGGCAGTGGTTTGCAAACAAGCAGACCCAGAGTCCTGCTGCCTATTTGACTGTTGCCACTCAACATCGAGTTACACATTCAATGCAGTTTGCTAAACAAATTCCTCTGTGTTATTTCCATCTCCCTGGGTTCTATTTAAACTGATTTCAAGGAAACTGTTGACACTGCATCCCCTGCCCCCATTTGCTCTCCTGCATTTTAATGCTTTCATGAAATGTTTTCACCCCCAAATAGGGAGATTATGATCCCTGAGCTGCTGCTGTGCATGAGCTTTGGTTGCACAGCAGCCCTCAAGCCGAGCTGCCTCTCGGCTCAATTTAGGAGGCCTGGTGACTACATCATTGGAGGCCTGTTCCCTTTTGGGATGGACACCATCAACCTGACAGCACGATCAGAGCCCACCTTAATTGTGTGTGAAAGGTAAGACGGCTGCTTGTTTCATTTGGTCACTTGGGCGCAGCTGAAGGCAGCAGACGGGATGCTGAGATGTCAAAGAACACTGAGCACCACAGCACCCGTGGATCACGTCATTCCCTGCTTCCTCTTCCTGCAGGCTATTTGTAGAGGGGCTGATATGGGCCCTTGGGATGAAGTTTGCTATTGATGAGATCAACAACTCCACGTCACTTCTCCCAGGAGTGGAGCTGGGCTATGACATCTACGACACCTGCTTTGAGCCACTGGCAGCCCTACAGCCCAGCCTGCTGTTCGTGACCCAAAATGGCACAACAGACATTGGCATAGCATGCAACTACACCGACTACCAGCCTCGTGTCACTGCTGTGATTGGACCACATAAGTCAGATCTCTGCCTGCTGACAGCCAAACTATTCAGCTTCTTCCTGATTCCACAGGTAAAGAGATTCCCAGGAAAAGTGAGAATTGTCCTTTTTGGTGGGGGGGAGGGTTTGAATGGCTTAGTTCAGTTGGAAGGGACCTCTAATCCAGCAACTGTGTGCGCTCCATGTCTTTGGAATGGCACCATTAGAAGCATAGCTTTCAATCCTTGCCATGGATGTCTTGTGTGATCCAGAGCAGGTGGTTAAATTTCCTGGAACACACATCAGTGTTTAACTTCCCAGAGAGGAGAGGGCTAACGCACACCGCCCTGCAACCCACGTGAAATGGCAATTCACAGTGGAAACTGGGAGAGAATTTCAATTGTGACTGTAAGCACTCAGTTATCTCAACAAAGAGAGCTGTCACAGTCAGGTGAACGTAGCTCTAAGGTATTTCTGAATCTGCAGGTCAGCTACGGGGCCAGCAGTGAGAAGCTCAGCAACAAGGAGCTGTACCCATCCTTTTACCGGACTGTTCCCAGTGACAAGAACTTGGTGGAAGCTGTGATCCTTCTGCTGAACGAGTTTGGATGGAACTGGATCGCCACCATTGGAAGCGATGACGAATACGGCCGAGGAGCCCAGGAGCTGTTCTTAAGCACAATTGGAAATGGTAGCATCTGCATCGCTTACGAGGGCCTAATTCCTTCAGACCTCACAGACCCCAAGGCTGAGAAACAACTGGAAGAGACCATTCAGAACATTAACAAGACCAACGTCAACATTATTATCCTTTTTGCCTTTCAACAGCCAGCTCAGGCCCTGCTGGAACAGAGCATCAAGATGGGACTAAGCAAGAAGGTTTGGATCGGCACTGAAGCTTGGTTGTTGTCTGACATAGCTGCCTCCATCCCAAACATTCAGAGCATCGGGACAGTCTTAGGCTTCATTATGAAAGCAAGCAGTGTCCCTGGCTTCCAGAAATACGTTGCCAAGTTACTCAGCTCTGTTCAGCAGGATGAATTTTGCCAGAAGTCCAGAGAATCCTACCGCCACGTGAGCTCTGACATGCTGGGCACACAGTGCAAACAGTGCGACCACATCTCCCTGCAGGACATCTCCTCCACCCTAAGCCACTCCCAAGTACAACCAGTGTACATCGCAGTCTACAGCGTGGCTTACGCGCTGCACAGAGCGCTGGGCTGCACCCACCAACGGTGTCCCAAAGCATCCATCAGATCTTGGCAGGTGAGGAAAGGTCTGAGGGACCGACAGCCATTTTTCATTCATCCCCTATGCCAGCATGCCACATTCCCCTCTCCAGGGCTGCATTCGGGCTCCTACCACCTGGGCCTGGAACAACAAACAGAGCAGCTGATAATACAGCAAAGAGGCTGATAGCTGCAACCTTAGCCCACATCAGGGGGAACTGATTTCATCAGCTTACTGCATTAGCAACCTCCAAGGAAGAACATGAGCTGCACTGATACCTACTGTTAATTCTCATTCTCTCCTCAGCTGCTGCACTTCATGAATACCGTCCCATTCATGGTGAATGGCCAAAGTTTCAGGTTTGATGAATCCCATGGCACAAACGCTGGCTACAAGCTTATATTCTGGCACTGGGAAAATGGCAGCCTCACATATCTGTCTGTGGGAGACTACCAAGAGTCCTTGTACCTCAATAAGTCCCTGATTCAATTTCACACTACAGACCAAAAGGTAAAGAAGGTGGGCAATCTCTTGCTTTTAAGTACCTGTTTTGCCACTTCATCATCAGAACTGTCCATGAAGAGCTGCCAGCCTACATGCTGCTCCTACAGGATTTGTGTGAGACCCAGCTTGTGCTCTCCTCCAAACAAGTAATCCATCTCCACTGTACAAAACTAGAATTAAGTATAATTAGGTATTCTCAGCACTGACACGGATGTGATGCCAGCAAAGCACAGCCAGTCTTTTGTTGGGTACCCAGCTGACACTTCTTTCCCCTTTTGTTCAGGAGCCCACATCAGAATGCTTCAGAGAGTGCGAACCAGGGCAAATCAGACAGAATAAAGGGTTCCACTTCTGCTGCTATGACTGCACAGACTGCCCAGAAAACACCTTCTGCAGTTCTAAAGGTGAGGTTTGAGAAAGGCAATGGCTTTACCTGCTTGTACTGTGTCTATCTATACCCCTTAAAGTCACACAGGTTCACAGAGCTGATAAGGCCCTGCTGCAGGCTGCTCCCTCCAGGAAGCACTGAGAGGGCAGGAAGTTTCTCTCCATTCTGTTCTGCTGCAAAACATCCAGTCTTGCTGTACAGATATTCAGTGCTGGACCTTCCTCTGATGATCCCTCATAGAATGTGCAAGGACAAGGTGTATGCTCTATCTCTGAGGCAGGAGAGAGGAGAACTGATGGAATTCCAAGGTCTTAGCTAGAAGAGAAGCCTATGATGGAGTTGTGGGATTTGGTGGATGCTGGTGATCCTTCCTGGGAGGAGAAATAAAACCAAGAAACAACGTGGCAACTTTTGAAAGGAAGGTAGTGAAGTAGAGAGGAGAAAAAAAAAATAAAATCAAAAGCTATGGAGGTCCAATATGCTTGGGAAGGGGGGGGAAGGCAGCCAAACCAGCACGCAGACAAGATCACAACTGATCCTTCCCCATAGGCTGCACGCAGCAGGGCAGCAGCACACTCCTGCAACGTGCTTTTCTCACTGGTACTTTGCAGACTGCTCCACCTGCACTCCCTGCATGGAGCACCAGTGGTCCCCTGCCCGGAGCACGCAGTGCTACAACCGCAGCGAGAGATTCCTCCGCTGGGACGAGCCGCTCACGGTTGGCTTGCTGATATCCATGTCCATCATCGCATCCCTGACCTGCCTGACAGCCGTGCTCTTCGTTAAGAACCTCAACACCCCCCTCGTGCAGGCTTCTGGAGGCAGCCTGAACCTCTTTGCCTTGTTTGCACTCGTGCTGATGTGCCTCAGCTCCTGTCTCTTCATAGGGAAGCCCAGTAACAACCTCTGCGTGATGCAGCAGATTCTCTATGCCCTGTGCCTCAACGCCTGCTTCTCCACCTTCCTCACCAAGTCCCTGGAGATCGCCCTGCTGACAGAATTCCCCCGCTGTGCCTGCGCTGCCCTGCGCTGGGTGACGCCGAGCAGAGCCTGGCTCCTTGTAGCCCTGTGCCTCCTCACCGAGTGCCTCTTCTGTTTCTGCAGCCTGCACCTGGGCCCTGACTACGTGCTGCCTGACTACAGCTCGCTGCCCACAGAGGTTCTGCTCACGTGTAGCACCGCGTCCTGGCTTGCCTTCGCCTTGATGCATGGCTACAACGGGTGCTTGGCCTTCGTCTGCTTCCTGTGCACGTTCATGGTGCAGACCTCTGGGAAGAAATACAACATGGCCAGGGGCATCACATTCGCCATCCTCATCTACTTCATCATCTGGATCTTCTTCGTTGCCATCTTTGCCACTCTGAAGACAGTCCTTAGGCCTGTGATTCAGATTGGTGCCATTCTGATGGTCAGTCTGGGTATTGTGGGGACCTACTACATCCCCAAATGCTACATCCTCTTGCTGAAGCCTGATTTGAACAGAGAGGATTATTTCCAGTACTCTACCAAAGAGGAGCCAGAAGGAGACCCTCAATAAACAGGCAACAAACCAGATCTATTGTACCCTCATTAGAAGCTGGCTGTATCTTATATCATATCATAGAATGGCCTGGGATGAAAAGGATCACAATGATCATCCTGTTTCAACCCCCCTGCTACGTGCAGGGTTGCCAACCACCAGACCAGGCTGCCCAGAGCCACATTTTAGCAAGAATACTCTGTTCAGAACGACTCTGTAAGGTATGATGCAGACTCGATCATCAATCCAATGTAACTGATGTGAAACAAAAAGCTAAGCCTTCCAAAGCCAATGTTTAAATTTGTATTTTACATGGGGGGAAAAAAATAAGTAAATTCTTGATTTGGACACAAAACTACAGAAAGCATTTTGAGGCATAAGGGCAGCTGTATGTGTGACACGAGAAGTGCACGACCCATTCAAATACCAACTCACTCATTTGTATTTCATCAACGTGTGAGCAAACATGGAAATGAGGACGAGGCACACAGAAACAAAGTGCAAATCACCCCATCGCAGTCGCTCCAAGAAATCCCTTCCATCTCAAATCACATGCAAAGATCAGTGGGGAGGAATGCCTCTTACCCACAGGGACATTCTGCCAAGGGGACAGAATGAATCAAACACTGTAAGCACCAGGAAGCATCCTTCATCTCTGCAGCACACCCGTTGTTCACTGCGCAGGAGGAGAATTCTCAGCTCCAAGAAGGGCAGTGCTTTGCTCCATTCGATATCAGTTACAAAATGGGTAACTGATAGTTTCAGAAGGCATGACAGATCCTTGTAAAGGAAAAAAACAGACTGACCCTGACAAAAGCTGCTTGCTAACCATCCCCAGTCAATATCTAGCTAATATTATGAATGTTCTACATCAGTTACTGAATAAATGATCATCTTTGAAAGCGCTGAGTGTGGGGTTCAATGGAAGAAGGTATGAGTGTAACCCTCTGCAAACCCCACAACTCTTTGCCACAAGGCAGCATTACCTATTACTGCATACCAACTTTCCCAAACCTATTTTTCTGTGTGTCAAAGCCACCTCTAATTACCAGCCTGCCTGCTTACAACACCCAAAAGACAGCAGAACTCTCACCTGAAGCCTGGAAGACCTCGTGACTGGAAATAGCAGCAAGTCTTCATGAGCACTCTGTGGTACCTGCAGGTCTAAGAAATATTCCTTGCTGCAGTGCTGTGTTTTCATAGCAGAACAGCAGAAAGGGAAAAGCACCTGATTGTGTTGCTCAGCTCCTTCCAGCCACCTGCAGACAATTCAAACCAGCTCACAGGCAATTCAAACTAGTTCACAGCTGGAACCCATCAGGCCCCTGCACTAACAGGCTGCACAGTCCAAATTTTCGACCATTTTCACCTGACCAGAACTGGCTAGATAATTTTCTGCCCTGCATAAGCTAACGTGGTTTGAAAAGGCACATAGGGCAACTGTGCAGGACTGTCTCATAGGCTCCCACGTACCTCTGCTGTACATCTGTGCCGTTTGTAACGGGTGCTCCCACAATAACTGCTGCTTTGCCTTTTCCCCTTTCTGCTGGATCTCTACCAGCTGCAAAATCTGCCTCCTGAAGCCTCCAAGGTTGCTGCTTGTAGGTGAACCACTGAGCTTGCATCTGCTGCAGTTTGGATGCAGCATCAGGGAATATCCACGTGAACCAGCTGGATACACAGACAGGTTCTACCAGCAGATCCATCTCCTGTGTTTGCAGGCAGGACAACTTGCTCCATCCCATGTCTTTACAACAGGACGCTTTTACTTCCAGAAATGTTCCAGCCTTTCCTTTATACTTACACCTGCCAAACCATGACAGGGGAAAGGCTGCTAATTAAGAGCTTGGGGGATTTATATTACCATCTTTGCACCAATTTATTCATCGCTAGCTCAAAGCTGCAGCACTTCTGGTGTCAGGGCCTCGTGTTTCCAATCAGACATCATTAACCTGCACAGCTTTTCAGCCACCTGTGACCCAGTTCAGCTGTGTACACATACAGGGCTCCTGTCTCACTCTGAGCTGTGATCATTTACAAGCACCATTAAAACAGGGCTCCTGGCTGCCTACCATCAGCTCCTGAACGTTTCTTCTGTTGCAGAGATGGCAGAGAGAAACAGAAGTAACTAAAAAAAAAAAAAGAGGCTAAGATTCTTTTTCATTCTTCTTGAATTATAGACAGTGCAGTAGTGCAAAGAACTGAAGACATACACTGCAGTTATCACATAAAATTAAAAGCTTTTTAGTGTTTAAAATAGCATTTACACATAAGCAGCTATATATTAACTATACAGACACTTGGGTTTTAATACAATATCTACAAAAAAGAATTCAATTATGCAATAGACATTTAACAGGAACAGTGCAGTCCATGCCATTAAGAGGTCACTCTTCGAGTAGAACCAAATCTAGAAGAGGTGATAGTCTGGGTTTTCATTATTTAAAATCATGTAACTTTGTTCCTCTACTGTACATAAAATTCTTTACAGGTATTTCTAATCACTGATTAGAATTAATAATTTTAAATCAATCTTATTACAATCCAGTTAAATGCAGAACAAAACAAAAAACAAAACAATTACATCGACTCATGAGCTGTCAAGTCTCAGGATGGGACTGCCCACTTAGAACAAAAATTAGATCAAAAGTCAATGTCTGTGCATCATTGCTCACCATCCAATAGACCTTTGGATAAAGTGTCCAGGGGACTGTTACCTTTGAAAAGTCAATTTATTAATGGGAGGTAAAAGACAATAGCAGTGCTTTTAAGACTATTTGCCGAACCACGGTACTCCTCAGAGTTAAAATATCGGGTGGGTTCACTGCCCCCCTCCCCAGATTCTGCCTCCTTTGGATAGGAGACGTCATCCCAAACTGTTCTCTCCACCTTTCCAAACATACCTCTTAGTCCTCGTCCCAAGCTGCCGCCAGGTTTGTGTGAGTGCTAAGCCCAGCTGCAGGGCAGGCCGTGAAGATCTCAATTCCAGAAATCAGAAAGAAAAACATCAACTATTTAAGGCTCCTGTTGTGGGGTTGTTTCAGTGCCCCGTACAGCAAAACCCACCGCTTCTCACTGTGGGCCATACATTCTAGAGCTCGGCCAGTGCCAGGTATTTAACATCAATTTCGTGCCCTGATAAGAGACAGTTCTGCAGGACTCCAGCCTTCCAACTTCCCTCCGCCTGGCACAGCACCTCTATCACAAGTAGCTTCGCTGGCATCAGCAGCACTTCCTTCTGCGCCTTGTGCTGCACCCAACAGGAGAAACTTGCACAGTTAGGCCCCAGCCCCCTCTATTGCAAAGATAAATGCACATGCATTGAAAGCCAAGGGTTTGGGAAATCTTCTGTCTTCAATCACTTCTGAAAATCAAGCGCTGGCAATGTTTCAGGCCAACCCTCCCCTCATCTCCAAGCAGCCGTTTGCTACAAGGGGATGAATGTCAGCTGTTGTTTCCACATGCAGTGGCCATTATGTATTGCACTGCTGACAAAATGGTCAGTGACATTTCCCAGCTGCTCTCGCAGGCTCTGCGTGCTGCCAACCAGCCAGCAAACCCATCGGTGCGCTCAGAGCCGTTCCGATCCACGGGTGAAGCTTTCAGGCCAGGTTCCTCAGCAGAGAAATGCTCTCCCACACCTCTGCATGCACTGCCAGCCTCGTTCCAGAGCGACCCACAGACACAGAAGTATAAAACACAGTCATTTCAACACTGCAGCAAAGACCAGCAAGACACAGAACAGCTTCTGCCAACAGCACAACAACGAGACGAGAAAAGAAACCGAAAGCCAGCAAAGTGTGTAAGCTGCAGCTCCTGAAAAAACGTGAGGAAATTAAATACAATTCTTCCATCGGCGAAAGCTCAGCCCCCGGGTTCTGTCCATTTTGGCAGCATTACAATGACAGTCTCTTCCTCCAGCCCTGCACGTCGTGCCTTTAGACAAAGCGGGCCAGAAAAATCCTAAGATGTAAGAGCCCAGAAAAGTTACACTTGATTTGAAAGCAGAACCACCAGTGATTGTCAGGAAAGTCGCAGACTCCTTAACAGTGTTCTCCTGGAGACACAGGACAAGTATTCTTTTGTGTTTTTTTTTTAAACCCTGATTTATCTCATTGCTTTCAATGTCAATCTCTCACAATGGTTTACTTGGTTTAATTAGTGCCTTTGCTGCGTTTGTGGGAGGAGAAAAGGGAAGAAAAGTGTTAGCAAGTGCCATTCTTCTGAATGAGCCACCAGCAAGTCTGCCACCAAGAGCAGCCCATCAGATGGATTATGAAGAAAGCACAACTGTGAAGATGCTGTTTCCACCTTTAGGGAGATTTTCTGAAAGAAGCAGTCCAAAAGCACTCAGCTGGTTCCAATGTAATCTGGGTTCCTAGCCTGAGTGATTGCTTCCTAAAAACCTCGCTTCCTTTGAAGTGAGACTTCATCATCTGCTTCACACAGACGTCTGAAATCTGGACTTGGCTTCTGTATAAAGGATGGATGTTTGCACACAAATCTGCCATAAGAAGTAATAAAAGTCCATCAGAACGAACATGTACAAAATGGAAAGCTTGAGGAGCAGTTTTCCAAGGTGACAAAGGAACACAAACTGCCTGTTTTAGTGAGAAATGTGTTTGCTTTTGATGCTCGTACTGGACAGTCACACCACCCATAAAGCATGGAAGATACCAAAAAGAAGCTTCTCATCAGTTAAAAAAATAAACAAAAACAGGCTTATATACAGCAAAGACTGATTTTAAAGCTCCTGTCCTAAAACCTGCTGGAAACAGCTGCTGAAGTGAAAGCTCCCAGCAGAGTTTTAGCACAGGCTGTGCTCAGTGTCCGGCATAAGGACTCACTCACTGTACCACTCATGGACTGCTCTCACCTCTCTGCTAACAGCTAGTTCCCACTGGTGTTCAGGACATGCTCCTGTGGGTAACTCAGCAATTGGGGTTAGGTATCTCCAGGTTTCTATTTCAGGGGAGAAAAAAAGGGAAAGATACTGCTCAGAAACGAAGAACAGAAGGAGAGGTGGTCAAAATGAAAAGCCACGTGCCAGTGGGAGCCAGGATTTCTCTGTCTCTGCTTGAATGGGGAATACGTCCCTTCCAGAGGGAGAAGCTGCAGCTACGCCAACAGAATCACGCTGCAGCAATCATTCTATTTCTGTGGAGACAACTTTTAAAACTAGTAAGCAAGTGCAAATCATAGCCAGAAAAAAAACAGACATCTGTCAGCAGCGATGTGACCGAAATGCCCAGGAAAAGACTGCAGCTACAAAGTCCCTATCGTGAAACTGAATGAACTAACATCACAAGTTCTGCACAAGGAGCACATACAGCAGCAAGGTTGCACCATTTCCTTCACAGAATAATGGACATCTGAAGAAAAAGGAAGATGGATTTACACTCTCTAGGCAGTAGAAGGCAGTCACAACTTGGCTTTCTGCTGGGAACTGGTCTGTGCCTGCTCCTTTCCAAGCATGTATGGTCTGTACTCACAGGTGCTGCATCTGCTTAGTGCTGACTGATGCATCCAAGCACCAGCATTACGAGGCAGTATCACAGATACCAGCCAACAATCCTTTGTTTTTCCTTGCAGGAGAAAAAGCACAGGAAAATAAAAGTGCCGTTATGCATTACTGGAAATTCAGAAGTCACGTGAAATAATAAGTCCTCGGATCAGCCCAAAAGATACACTAATTGCACTGAAAGTAGGTGCCACAATTACCAAAGCTCATTAAGATGTGAATATACACCAGCCAACCACAATCAAAAACAAGAGGGGAAGAAAGAAAAAACGGGAGGATAAAGAGAAGACGCCATCGACTTGCTGATATTTAACAATCCTAGGCGTTGCTGGGGGCTTTTTGTGTTTGTTTTGCAGGGGGGTTTTGTGTTGTTGTTGTTGTTGCTTCGTGTTGTTGGTTTTTCTGCAACACACCATTGCAAACCGGGAAGGCGTGACATGCAAAGCAGACAAACTTCTTCCCTTCAGCATCTGACAACGACCACATTTCCCACCCGGCCCCAAAACGATCCTCCCCGGCCCTCCCCAAAGCAGAGTCTGAAGGCACTTCCTCTCACATGATGTCGACAAAGAATTCACAAGGGTTGCCCATGGCCTTCTGGAAGGACTGCCGGCTCCCCGTCAGCTCCGGAGGAACGGAGCTCAGTTCTCTCACCGGAGGCCCTCCAGGGGGTCCGCTCGTCCCGTAGACTTTCGAGCCCAGTTTGGGGAGGTTGTAGAGGGGTGGGACACCCGGAGGCCCGTAAGAATGATGGCTGTGGTGGCTCCTCTCGCTGTGGGTGGCAGAGACGTGGCTGCGGTGGCTGAGCTGGCTGACGGGCCTCTCGCGGCGCGCCGTGCCGGTGCCACCACTGCAGGCAGTGTGCTCAGATTCACTGCCACTGCCCGCCGACTTGCGGTCCTTCTCTCTGCCAAGAGCCCTCCTGCTGTTCTCGCTGTTGCTTCGGTTCGAGCCGCTGCTTTTGCTTCCTAAAACCCGCGGGGGAAAAAACAAAAGGACACGCAGAAAAGCCGGGTTAGCTCGGTTCCGCCGCTGGCTCCAACACCAGCACCTACCAAACCCACAGATCCACCTGTGACTTGGTGTGATGGCAATGGTGATGACAAGGCCTGAGCGTGCTGATGGGATTGAGGGGTGACAGATGGCAGAATGAAGCGGACGAGGCTGTGCCATGCACAGGTACACGGAGACACCTACAGAGCTCGCACAGCGAAAGCAGCAGCTCAGCTCATAAGCAGGGCTGGAGGCCTTCAGCTCCTCCACCGCCTCGCTGCCTAGATGGGAGCAGCAGAAACCAAAGGAAGAAGCAGGCGTTTGGGTTTTAACCCACAAGCAAATGAGGTTCAACTGAATCCTGAGCGTGCCTTTGGCCAACGTTTTCCAAAAGGAAACTCATTTGACTTCTGTATCAACTGGGCAGACTGCTGCTGAAGGCTGAACCTCCTGAGGTTAACTGAAGTCCTTCTGTTGCATTCACTATGTAGGCTCTTCTAAAATTCATCACTGCAGCGTTTTGTTGTTGGAGTTATTTATTGAGCTGCTCTATAAGGAATCAGGAACACGAAGGATGTTCCCAGCAGAGGCCACTAAACCAGCTCAGGAAAGCAAGGGCTGCTGCTAGGACGTAAGCTGAGCTGTTGCTACATACAGGCTTTGCTAAGCTTTGGAGCTGATTCAAAAGGGAAGTTGAAGGTTGTGCTCTATTACCATCAGAGATGGGACAGATGTCAGGAGACATTTCTTAATTAATTAGCCTTAAAAAAAGAAAAAAAAAAAAAAGCAAACAAACAATAACAAGAAACCCACATGGTATTTCATTAAATTCCTGCAGTTTAGAGAGTATTATGACTTAAGCCAAAGCCCTGAATGCAAGATTGTCTTCCTGCTAGGAAGGATCCCAAACAGCAGAATAAGGACCAGCTTGTCATTCTGAATGACATCTCCTTTGGTCTCCTAATGCAAAGCAACATTTACCAGCTGTGAACTAACAGGATACATAAATAGAAAACACAGAAAACCCAATTTTTAATCTGCATATAGAGAGTGACCAGCACAACCCTGTGGCCCAACACTCTCAGTACCTTCCCAAAACTTCTGCTCAAATGTTTTTCAGCCAATCAGCTCCTGAAGGACACTGGTAGATATATAAAATCCTGATGGACAACATCAGGCTCGTGAATTAAAAGCTGGGATTTCTTTATTTTTACAAAGGGTGGTGAAGAGACTGGTGGCAGGATTTTCCCATTTGAGCTGGCAGCAAGCTACCTGGTGCCTTTCTCTCGTGGCTGCTGCAGCACAATCACGTGGGGGGCAAACAGCTTGGTATGCTCATGTCACACTGTTGGACTGTCGTGCGTTGAGACAAAAAAGGAAAAACACAGCTAAACATTTGGGTCACAGGAGTCTAAATGATCATGCTGTGAAGTCATTATTATCATGGAGGCATTTGAAGCTTACCAATCCCCTAGAGTCAGCCATTCCTCTATGAATCCTTCAGTCTAATGCTTGCTCAGAACAAAACAAGGGAATAACAGTTATAAAGTAAGAAACAACACAGCAGTGTAGTTTCCAAATGAAGAACAAGGAAAGAGTAGAAACTCTTAATTTAAACACTCTTGGTGCCTTCCACAGGGCTCTCTTAGCCACTGACACAGGTGCATGGATGAAATACCATACCTTTCCTGTTCCAGCAGCAGAGATCTAACCAGCTGCCAAAAAAAAAAACCAAAACCCAATTTGGAAGTGATTTATAAAGCATCCCAACAGTGGGACCCTGTTGGTACAGCCACAAAATGCAACTTTCACTTACTAAGATTGAAAAACGAATGGCAAAAAGATCCTACAGCAGAAAAGGAAGAGGTCAGGTTTTTAATCCATGCAGCACTATCCTTTTTTCCCCTGTCTCGTATCACCATACAGACTCTCCTCCCTGTGAGCAGTATTTCAGCCCTGTAACCTCTTTGCTGCTCACCTCACACTTGTCTCACCCAAGCAAAAAGAGTGATTGCACTCTCAGTTCCCTTGGTCCTAATCCCTGTTCCACCAGCAACCAGCAACCCTCATTTCCAGCAATATCAAGAGACTGCAGCCCCCACTGTTGGTAATGGCTCTGACCTCTGAAAAGGGTCAATACTTTAAATCTGTTTTAACAGGGGGGGACAACTGATGTTAACGTTGGCCTGATTCACATTATTCAAGCAGCAGTTTACTGTGTGGTGCTGTTTGGTAGGTAAAGTACAGATGCCCATGCCACAGACAGCTTGGCTCTAGTTTCCCACTGGCGTTCTGCATTTGGAACAGAAGTGCAGCACAACCAGAAACAGTACACAGCACTGATAGCACTGACTCAGATCAAACATTGCTGGCAGTTTCAATACAGAGCTGAAAGGCTAACCCACTCCATCACACACAAGAACAGTTTTGATTGCATGCAGTCACACCAAATCCATGCAAGTAAGCACAGGAAACCACGAGACAGGAGCACGAACAGTACTAAGGAACTCAAGCAAATGGTCAGGGGTAATGGTAGCTGTAGGAATACATACCAGATTAACCAGCTTACCTTCACTTTGCTGGCTCCCTGCACTGCCACTGCCATAGCTAAAGCCTGGGTCTTGGTATGCTGGTGGAAAACACGGAGGGGGCAGAGGATACTGATAGGGGTATCCTTGGCCTAAAGGCCAGGGAGCAGCAGGATGTGGAAGTGGAGCAAGGGTATCTTGATCAGAGGCTCCGCTAGAACCATTGTTGAGGTTCAGTGCAGCCATATCTGGAAAAGAAAGAAAAGATGAAGATTGTACTTTTCCCTTGTAGAGCTGACTCTTGAGTATCAGTAATGGCTTACAAAGCACTTGGTGTGCCTGTGAGGGACTCAGTCTTGACAGCTTACTCAAAGTATCACACACGGCAGGGCAGATAGGAATATTCACCACTGGGCACCAAGGTACCTTTGCAGCGTTTCTCCAAGTCAAGGGGAAATAATTCTCATTTTACAGACTAGAAACAGCTTGACTGACAAGCAGGAAGTTTTTGGCATCTCCAGACATTACTCCTGCTTCCTTGAGCCCCAGTGCCACGAGTCCATTCTTTTTCAAAGGGTCTAATTGCTGCTCTAACAGGAAATGTTAACCACTTGTCATGCAACTTCAGCCTAACAATCTGTTCTGAAATGCTCACTTGTCAAACTCTGCAGGGCTCTCCTCTGTGCACCCTGTGAGCACAGCAGAGAACACACATGCAGCTCTGCCCTTCACAGATGTGGAACTTACTGCCACAGAGGTCTCCAAAGACATAATAGCACTGCTCTGAGAAGGTGATTTTGTTCACAGTGTGCCTGAGGTAGCCGTGTTTTAACATGCTGCTGGCATACTTCCTAGCCTCCCGTCGGTCTTTGAAGCCTTCCACGTGTGTGTAAAGCCAGTCAACAACATCTGCTCCTAAAACGAGAACAGGAACGGGAGACTTAGGGACATCCACATCAATTTACAGGCAGTGGTTAAGGACCAGTTGTGCTCACCTATTACTGCATTGGAGATGGTAATTTTTAACCACATCCTGTCCCGGATCTCAAGGCCTGAGTCTGGCAGCTGCATGACCTTGACAATAGTAGCCATGTCGCTCTTCACAGTTAAGGGAGATTCTTCTAATTCTAAAAGCAAAAGAAGGTTACATGCTTCTTTGGAATGAACACAGTCTGAAAAGGATTGGATGAAACATTTCAAGATACAGCTCCACCAACAGATGCAAAACCAGACAGAAAAGATCCCCATTTCACCCCATCAGTGGCATAAATTACAGCCTTCAGGGCAGTTCTTGGAGAGATTGTGCTCAGTGCAACCAGTTCAGTCACTGAGATGCCAAATCCCCACGTCTTCAGTTCACACCATCACCCACAGATCAGCACTGCACTGTTTCAATCCACATCTCAGTGACATTTGTCCAAGATAAAACACAAGGAGTTCTGTGGTCACGGTTTTCATTTCGACTTGCCACAAACAGCACCCACCCAACAGCTCAGTGCAAACCTCTGTAGAGGTTTTCCAGCTTACTCTTTGACTTTTGCCTTGCCCTACCTGCACAGAACTCAGTCAACCTATCCATACACAACAGGACTATTTTCTTAGGACACGGCACCCAATTCTACTTTCTGCCCCTGTCTTCTCAATCCTAGAAAACTCACTTCCAGCACATTTGTTCTGTGCTTGCAGTTCAAACCCTCCTCCAAGAGGAATTCAGAGCACTCCTCCCCTCCCATCTCCCAGCCCCCACATCACCCACCTTTCCAAAGCACATGGGAACCAAGTTTCCTCTTTTCCAGCAACTCAAAATGTTGATATAAGGTACAACGAGCATGAAACAATGAAAACTGAGAATGCTTCTTTCAGTGCACTGCTAATACTCATGACAATATCCAATGCCATCCATGCATGCAATTCCAATACTTATCAAGCGAACAAACACTAACATTTGCTTTTGCTTGAAGTTAGTTTGGTTAGTGGCAAAAAGCAACATCTTCATTTGGAAAAAAACAAAAGCATATAAAAATCAATACTCCAATACCAATGAGGGGAGCAACAAATCATTTCTTCTTGGAGGCCTGCAACCTGCCTGCGAAGAACAACACGAGCCAAACCATCAGCAGTACTTCCTGCTATGCAGCCACGTACATTTCTCAGGTGCATCTTAAAATGCACCCACACTGGTCTGAACTTTGTCAGCTGTGGGCATGACCACCTCCACAGCGATGGGAGAACCTGAGGCACAGCACAGTGTAACCCCATGGGGGCCCACAAAACTCTGCCTCAGGACTTTGGTTTTGTGTTTCTAAGTGGCATTTTTTCCCTTTGGCAAATCCTGGTAAGAAAAAAAAAAAGGTGTGTGCCCTGGGGCAATGAAGTCCTGTCACATACAAATACCCAGCCCTGGTTGTGTTGCATTGCCTCCTACATGGTCCTACTTGAGTGAGGAAGTACATTTGCCCAAACAAAAAGGTTGCCTTCAGCCAGCTTTGGCTTGGATACTCTTGTTTTGGAAGGAATCTGCCTGAAAGAGTAAGACAGCTGATGGAACAAACCCTACTGTGTTGCAAGGCCCCAGAATCTCTGATACTTTAACCACTAACACTGATGTGGCAGTGGCTGTGAAACTATTTCAGATACACAAATTCCATTTTGATCCAGAGGTCAGAGAACAAAGGAAAGCTAACCAGGAGAAAATCTGAATTACTCAATTCACTTAGAATTATTTAATCCTGGTCTTGCTGTATGAACACAGTAAAACATACATCCACAGTGCTCGAAACAAGGAAGCATGAAACAGATTTGTTTTACGTGACTCCATTAATTCACTGCTTCCCCTTTTGCAGCCAGATTCTGTAGAACAGGTACCACATGCACTTCAAATACTGGCAGTTGTGTCCTCAGGGGAACTGAAATAAAGCATCTTGGACTGGGACATGAAAAGTGAGGAAGCCCCATCGGGTGCGAGTCTGTTTCAGATATAAGTGCACTATTTCTCTCCTGCTTTGCCTCTCATCTTCCCTTCCTCCCCAGCTTTGTCTTTCCTGGCATGGAGGCCCACAGGACAGGTGCTCTCTGCCCTTGGGACCCTGCAGTGCTGCCTGCTGTGCTCAGTGAGGTTCACAGGACTGACCTGAGGGAAGCAGTGCTAAGCAGAAGGTCACAGGGAAGCCCTTCTTGCATCCAGGAAAGCACAGAAATGAGAAGCTGTCTCCTGAAACATGGTTCTGCTCCCAAATAACCTTTATTTTAAAAGTAGGATTGAAAGGATGTCTGCATTCCACATTTCCCAATCACATTACTGTACGTCAAGGCAGGATACATGAGTATTTCAAGAGGAAAAAAAGAAGAGTAACAGACTCTCATCGGACAGCAATCAGATACATTGATTCCAGCAATCTTTAGTACCTGGAAGACTGAAAACACATCTCAAGATTAAGCATCATGTAAATGATCCACTTGCTTTCTACTGCAGATGTCCCTTCAGTGCTGCTGCCCACTGTCTAAAGAGGCACTGAGCTACACCTACAAAAAAAACAACCTCCTTTTCAATACAAGGTGAGGTGTAACTCTGGGAACAATCCAGTTGTAAAAGCAGAGAAAGGGAATGAGAAAGAGAGGCAGACATCTATGCAGTCTGATAGGACTGAGCTGGGCCCTGCAAAAGCAACTTCTGTGCTTCAGCCTTTGCCCAGGAAAGTCTGTCACAAATCACTGATCTCACGTTGATCTTTTAACTCCTCAGAGGGTTGGTTTGTATGTTTGGGCTTTTTTCCTTTTAAATATGACAACTTGCTGGTTACACGGATGAGATGAGATTGGAGACTGCCCAGGACAGACAAACCAGGAAAGAAGACTGAACTCTAACAAGAACGTCACATGGGACATCTGCTCTGTTTTTTTCCCAGTTCAATAAATTCTAAGAGGATAAAAAAGTATAAAAGAAGGCTATGTAACTATTGGTGAAGACTTTCCAAATGATTCTTTGGTACCCAGTGACATTCATTTGAAGGCAATGATTACAGTTTCTAAAGAAAGCCAGCAGAATTCAAGGAGGAAGCCCTCGCATTCACCTGCAGGGATAAAGCTGGGGGCCTGCCTTGTGACTTTAGAAGGGAAGCCACTTCTTCCTTCTTGCACGCGAACCCTGGCAGAACAGGGCTGCATTAACTTCTGACCTTAAGAAAGAGGCTTTACGCCCCATTAGGAATTACAAACTTCAGAAAACACTCAAGAGCTCTGTGATGGCTGTCGTTTTCATGGTGCTTGTGGCTGGGGTCGGCTTTGCACACAGCTCTGCACTGCTGGCCCTGAGCAGAAGATGCCTGCCCTGTGCTGGCCGCAGTGTGACTTACTTTCCGAATCGGGAATTGAGCTTGTTAGTGAGGAGCTGGTAGATGTGGTGATGCTCATGGAGGGGCTCATACCGTAACGGGGGTACGCTCCCGTCATGGCTGTGGTATGAGAGATCCACGCTGCAGGGTCAATTGGCCTCACTGGTTCAGCTGCAAAGCAACCAGAAAGGGAAAAAAAAAAACATGAGTCGCATGGAATCCAATTTGCAGCGAACAGCAGGATCTAATTAAGTCCTTCCGTTCTGTTGTCACAACTGAGACAGCCCCAACAGAAGGGAACAGAAAGCACCTTGCCAGCAGTATTTGCTTTAACCTAGGAGCTGCTACATCAGTCTCACAGGACATAACCATGCTAGCCCTGCTCCTGCAGCTGTGGTATTTTTCCATCTGGGAAACGTTCTCATTTGTTGGGAAGAAGTCATCAAGCTTAGAAGCACTGGTAACACGCTGGCTTCTTAAGCACAGCTCTCACCAGCAGGAGGCAGCTGTGCTTGTCAGATGAACACAGACCTTTTATAGCCACTGAACTATTTATTAAATCAAAACTCTTAAACTGCATCATTTTCAACAGTGTTTGTGTATATTTTACTATGTGGCTTGCCTCAAATTTTAGAAACAATCCATTTAAATTCTTTCTAAGCACATGTGTGGTAAAAAAATACGTGGTAAAATATGTGGTAGGCTTTTTAATACTTAAGCCTATTTTTCCCCCAAACCTTCTATCAATTAAAAGGTTAAGCTCAGCAGGATGTAGCCAGCAAAAGGCTGAGAGCTTAACCCAAATCACGTGAATGAAAAGACAAACTCCCATGAATTTAGTGGGCACTGCAGTCTCAAAAAAAGCATCTTAAGCCTATAAAACAACACATCCAAACTTGAAATTAGAACTTGCAGGGAAAGGATGGCTCCAAAGGAACTTGATGGCTCCAAAGGAACTCAGCAAGGAGCACCAACTGTACTCACCCCTGGGGATGGTGAAATAACTCCTGGGAGTGGGGTCCCAGCACTTGGCTACCGTTAGGCTAATAGGTCTAGGAAGAGAGAAAACAGGTAAGGGAGACTCTCAGCTTCCCCCACAGAAGTCATAACTACCACAGTCAACTCTCTGAAACAAGCTGATCAAGTACGTTCTGAGGAGGCTCTTGAGATGCTTGTCAAACCATTTTCAGCACAGACAGCATCAGCTGAGTTTCTGTTTCCCATTTATCGTAGCGCTAACTGGTGAAATCTGTGGAATGATCAGATTCTGAGACATTCAAACTCACTTTCCATAAACAAACAGTGCTACTGAAACCAGGCAACTCCCAGTTTGTGTTGGCTTTGGCTGGTACACTGAAACCAGTCTCATCACTCACACTGAGAAGCTCAGAGTTGAAATCAGCAGTCATGCCAGCTGCTTATTCAGATCAAAATGCTGATTTCTGTTTGTTCTGTTTCTGTTGATTTGAGGTTTGCTCAACACCAATAAGGAGTGCAGAGGATAAGCAGCAGATTTGGTAAGATGCTTACCCTGGCTTGGAGACTATTTCCCTTAACACCCGTACTGCATCATCATTGCTCATGTTCTCAAAATTGACATCATTCACCTGAAATGACACAAAGAGCTGCCATCAGGCTTAGCAATGGGAACAGTAAAGACATTTTAGTTACTCAGAGAGAAATACTGTTTCTCAGAGCACGCTGACTACCCATCCAGCAGAGCTCACAAAGATTTCAGTGACAACAGTTTTTGTGCCATATTTCTCTGAGCATGGACGAATTCTGCTGATTATTCACTAACTCCATGGGATCTGCTGGGATGGCTGAGCTGAAACCATCGATGTGAAAGAGAGCAGTGCATATTTCTGCACACAGACCAACCTGCAGAAGCATGTCTCCTGGTTCAATTCGTCCATCTGCTGCCACAGCCCCTCCTTTCATAATAGAGCCAATGTATATGCCACCATCACCCCGGTCATTGCTTTGTCCTACAATGCTGATTCCCAGGAAGTTATACTTTTCTGTGCAGGGACAAAGTGGAGGGTAGGGAGGGAAAACAAACAAACAAAAAAAAAGCAAACAAAGTGATTGAAATGATAGTGAAGAGCTAAGAGCTGGTCACTCCAGCCCTGAGTGAGTTCAGTTCACTGCTTACTTACACAGCTGGGATGCATTTGATTCACAACTACCCCAATATCTCAGTTTACCCTGCTGGGGTAAGTTTGCCTGGCATGTTCAGAGACAGACAGCAGGGAAAAGCTGCTACATGCATCACTGCTTCATACAAGACACTAAAGAAGTTATGTTAAAAAATCATCAAGGGAAATAACATAGAAAAGACATGTCTATACCTAGAAAACAGGCAGCTGATCAGCACTAGGCAATGCTTTTCCACACTTAAAGAGGAAAAACAGGCTGCTGCTGAAAGGCACTGAAGTGACAGTTCTGCCCATTTCCATCTGGCTAAACAGTGAAACACGTGAACTCCAGAAATGCAAACTTTCAGTGTTAGGAACAAGAACAGGACAACCTCTGGCTCCTTACCACTCCTAGAAATATGAGCACAACTCCATCCTCTGGGTCCAGAGCTCCAGCTCCTTCCCCAGGCTTCTCAGGAAGAACACTGAGCTGCTGCTGCAAATGGCTCCCATTATCCAGTGCTGGACTGGGAACCCAGGCACTGTCAGAGCTGCCTCCCAGCTGCCTTCCCTTCAGTCCAAAAGGAGTTCTTTCAAACCAAGGAACTTCCTACTGACTCCAAAGGCCTCTATGCCATAACAAAACACATCATAACAAACATTGCTCATCCTCTTACCCATGTTGAGTGTGACAGTGATGATGTTTAGGGACATGGTGGAATCTGTGATGCTGCTGAACGAGGATGACTGCAAAACATAACAGAAAATTCTCAAGGTTGTCAGTGGCTCCAAATAAGACAAATAACTAATGAGCACTAATTCATCAGTAACTCATTAATAGGTTTCTGTTTGGGAGGCATCCAGGAAACCTCTTATGGCCTCCAAATCCCTTTCTGATTTGCATGCTACACTCAGAATCACAGTTCACCTTCTTGGAAAATGATGATGCCAGCCTTACCCTGTCAATCTGCCGCATCCTTTGTTTCCTCCTCCTGCGCTTATGCTTCCGTATGAGCCGTGAGGAAGTGCTTTGCTCAGTGGAACTGCTCAACCTGAGGGAAATCCAGAGCAAATGTCAGCTCCATTAAGCTGAGCCATTCGCAGTTCTCTGCACCCTGCCAAAAACAAGGCTGAGTTCCACAAACACCAAGGAGTCGCCGTTCAGACACCAGCAGCGAGCTGACAAAGCACTGCTCTCAAGTGCTGCTCAATCCCAGCACATGCTGCATCTTCACCTCCCCCTGTGAGCACAGAGAAGTTACCAGCTCCTCTACAGCATGGATTAGAAAGTGCATTTTACCAGCTTGCTTCGTTCTTGGAGCAACACTGAAAGCAACATGCCTTGCAACAGGCGTGTATCAGCCTGCTTTAAGCACCCCAAGGTTGCAGGCAGCTGCTTTCTGCTCCCTGAGCAGTGGGCCTGACTCCATGCCCAAGGAAAAATGCATGCTGTAAGAACAGCTGCACGTTAAACAATGACTTCATATCATTTTATGTGGGCCTTGCCATGGTGCTCTCACTTTCTTCTGCTGCTTAGCACTCTGTCAACAGAGACTGGAACTCACTGAAATAAAGCAGCTCTTGATAATAGCTACTACCAACTGGCGGCGGAGGAATGGTGAACATCATTTACTTCTGCATGTTCTGTTTTTTTTCTTAAGGTCTTTCAAACCTGTACACCCCCAATGCATCACATCCTACACATCTATAATTTAGGCTCTCCTACATTAGGAAAGTTAATTATTCCCATTTTACAGAGAGTGGACTGAGGCACAGCAAAAGATAAGTGGATTGGCCCAAGCTCATTTCAGAAGCCTGGAACAAAGTCTGGATTTCAGAGATACCACTGCAACACCACAGGGATCTCTCTCCTCTATTTATGATGTTCAGAATGGCAAAAGAGACAAAGTAATGCTCCACTATTAACTAAGATCAAAACTAATCCAACCCAATACAACACAAGTAACTGGACTGGCACTGGCACAGAGAAAACTGTGCCAGATTTTTTCCCCCCTCATTGCCACGTCCCTATCTTCAAAGTCCTTACTGCACACAGGCATGCCAGCATACCTCATGCAAAATCTGATACTGGCAATCCCAAAACAGAGCTTGCTGCCATGAGGTTACAACCCACCACACTGGGAAACCCAGGTTTGTTTGAGTCAAGGACGCCCAGCTGAGCATTACCAATGCTGGGGCTGCTCCGAGGGCGTGAAGCTCTTCATGTTCTCTTTAAGCTCACATAACTATTTCAGGTATGTTAACACTCCTTTTTCCCCTCCCAACAAGGCATATTAATTTAAAGAGCCAAGAGGTGGTGTTTTCTAAGGAGATCAAAGATCTGATAGCTCTCCATCTGTGGAAGCAGCTCACAGCACCTGGTTTTCTGAGCTTGTTCCCTTTTCCACAGGGAAAATAAAGAGGTCTTTCAAAAGCTGGGCTCCCCAAAATTGAGCCCGTTCAACATTCACTGCTGTTTTTGCAAGCACTGGCAAAGACTGACACAAAACCCCCTTGCATTTTACTATCAATATTCTCCTCCTTTCTATCCCCTCTCTGATTTCATTCTGCTCCTCTTCTCCCCCACGTTGCCTCATTCACAGGATTCAGCTCAAACCTTCCAGCATGCAGCAGTAAGGGAGAACCTGCAGAAAGGCAAGGCACGCTGCTCCCATCACAGTGAACCTGCCTGCTCTCCCCAAAAGGCAGCAAAAAGAACAGAAGAGACTGGGGGAGCTCTATTGCCTGAACATGAACCGAGCAACAAGATGCCTTCACATGCTGTAAGAGAGCTGTGAGCTGCCCTCCACCAATTACAGCATAAATTCAGTGTTCTGATCTGCACACAAACGCTCTGCCTTCAGACTCTGCTCCCAGAGCCAAAGTGAATTGTATCAGTTACACTGAATCAAGAACAGCATTCACAAGTTGCTGACAATAACCCTCCTGCTGCATACTTCACATTTGCTAGATATTTATTTGCTTAAGAAAAGACAGAAACAGAACAGCAACGTCTACCACAAGCTCCCTACATCAATGTGTATCCAAAATACCACCTACTGCCTGCAAACAAGACTAGCATTCAATTGTATCACATACTGAAGACAAAGGAAATAAACACCCTCAAGCTCTCCACTTGGAAGCCAGCTGTAAGGGATGCTGCTGCCTTACTTGTTGACCTCCCCTACAAAGAGCCCCCCCATAAGGCAAGCTCTGACCCTACAGCTGTAATTAACCAACTTACCCCCTTCAACCTCGTCTTCCCCAGGCCTCCATCCACAGCAGATCTGCAGCATGCTCCATTTGCTATTTGGCTGTTTTTGCCTCTAAAGGAAACTTCTCCCTGCCAGCACGATCTCTCATCTGCTTGAGAGCATCATCGCTGTAACACAACAGCATACCTCAGAGCATTCCATTTAGTTGTTCTTCCTGACTAGCTGGCCTGGCAGCTATCCTGTGTGCCAACAGCTTCTGCCCCAGCCTAGAAAGGAAAAGGCCTCGGCTGCAGCTTCGAAGAGTCACTTTCTTTGCAGGTCAGACACAGGAAGCTTTATGTTATTAATATATACAGAAGGACTGAGCTGGGTTTAGAGTGATGTGCTTCAGAGGCCACCCTGACTGCTAATCCTGCCCTACTGCATTTCTTCCTGCCCCGGAAATGATTGAGTTATGTCCAAGAAACACAATCAGCTGCAGCGTTGTTGATGTTTGTGGGTTTTTGTTGTCGGTTTCCTCTCATTGTTGGTTTTGGTTTTTGATTTTGAAATGGGGGAAGGAAGGGTTGGAAGCCCTTCAGACTTTGGGAAGGGTATGATCTGCCAGCCCTGATGCATATGAATACCCACGTGAAGCACAAAAGCATGCAGGTAATTTTCTGGGTCTTCAAGTGTCGGCAACTTCACTGTAACTGCAAAAGAAGCTCTCAAACCTAACTCAGAACCCAGCCTGAAACATTCATTTAGTCACCCTTCCAGCCCTTTGGGAACACCCAGCCCTGAAACAGAATTTGAAGCTATTGCTCTTCAACATGTATATAAGCTGTGATCAACTCCGATCAACACAGTTCAATCAACTAAGATCTCCAATAGCAGAGCATCTTTGCTGCTCCTCTTCTACCTAAAATTTAAGAACATCACACTGCCATCACCTTTCCTTCTTCACAGACATCTGCAGCTACAATCACAGGACCTGTAATTTGTTCTCTGCCAGCTCTCACAGATCTCTAATGGCTTTTCATGGCCCATTTGGCTGAATGCTTTAAACAGCTCTAGGGACGGTGCTTAGAGAACGCTGGCACTGAAGGCAGGAAAATGAACCACACAGGCTTTGATTGATTTTGCCTATTTAAAAATGGATACTTTAAATCCGAGAAACGTATTGGCTTGCAAACATTTTAAGAACACAAGTATCCTCTAGGGATGAAGAAGGATGCCTTGAAATGATTTTTGGAAAAAACAAGGAATAATTCATCACATTCCTTCTGTTCACATAAAAAGAAAAAAATAATAATTAAGAAGTCATAAATACGTGGCACCACAGCCTGCCTGTGCAATAATACTCACCCTGATGAATTCTCCTACTGCCCACAGGCCTCAGACCATGCAATTACATAGGAATTCTTTCACTGTTTTCTTTAGTTAGGTGCCTGCTCCATAGGAATGGACCGTGGCTGTATTTTGTTACAATAACCACAGGACTGCTTCAAGAATAAGGAGACAGTTGCACACTGCCTGGATTTTAAAATGTAACCATTCCTGCCATTACAAGGACAGAATAGGAACAGAACTTTCTCTTAACTGGAGCTGTGGCTGATGGCACTTTGGGTAGGGATCCCACTAAGCTGGCTTTTTCCTCAGAGCAGTGATTTTACACGTTACTGATGGATTACCTGTCCTCAAATCATATCAAGCAGGGAAAAGAGGAAAAAGCACATAATAAAACTTCTCAGCACGTTTCAGGACAGCCCAGATACACGGACCAGCAGCTGGGAAACACGGAAATGGGATTTAACAGCTCAGTCACTACAGCAGTGCCCGACCTGCTGGTGTTGTCATCGTCGTCCGAGTCGATGAAGCTGCTGGATTCCAGCTCGCTGCTCATCATGGTAGAAGAGCTGTCGTAACCAGGAGGGTGCTCACGATGTCTGTCCAGTTTGGGATGGCCATTGATTCGAGGGACTACAAAAAGAAAAGAAATGGGGTATTACTACTGGGCAGAGAGGAAAAGGAAGGAAGAAATGGCGACACTGAGTAGCACTGCTTCCACACCACGACTTGCAGCCAACTTTGCAGGAGGACCCACATGCAGAAACCAAGCTCTTTGCACAACCTGCCTTCATCCAACAGCTGGAAATCCCAGCACCCTGGCCTGCCCACCTATCTTTTCCCTAACATTCCCACTTGCCTACGTATCAGTTCACAGGCAGGCTGTAAAGGAGATAAAGCCAGAAGCAGTAGGCATAAACGAGTACCCTAATGGTGTTAGAAAAATGAATGCTGCCTCTCCTGCTGCAGTTGGCTCCTGTCAAAACACTTCAGAACTGTGGCAGTGACCCTGTTCCCACCCACACTGTGCCCACAGAGGGAAATCCCCAGCGTGCTCTGGGACTATTGCTCCATCCAAGTCCCACAAGCACAACCAAAGGTACAAGAGCTTCCCACAAGTTGTTATTTGGCACGTGCTGCACGAAATGAAAGAAGTCAGTTCAGGGCTCCTGCTGGGACGCTGAAAAATTCCAGTCCTGAAGACTCAAGGATTATGAAAAACATATATATACATATTTGCATCTTCCTCCATGCTGTGATCCCAAAGAAGCCTGTACCCAAGAGGCAGCCCATCTGCTGAGCAACGTATTTTGACTGGGGAGACAGAACAAAAACTATTTGCACTGACTTTGCTGCTTTTATCGCACTGCTATCTCTCTGTATCACACACTGCAATCACACCTGATAGATGAGCCACTCTCACATGAAATCTTGTTTCACGTGTCTCAAACTCTCTCAAACCACCCTTACCAACACGTTCTCCAATGGAGCAGCACAGCAGCACTGCTTGTTGAATTATTAATATTATTAATAAATGGATAACCAGAGTAAATTAGAGCCTGCTTTCAGCATCATTAACAGCATTGAGCTTTAGCACTGCAACAGTCTCAGCATCCTCGTGTGGAGTTCCCATTCAGCACCTGGGATAATAAATTTAGAACAGTTACAGTATTATCCCAAGATTTTGACCTGAGACCCTCAGAAAGCACAGGTTGACACGGCCTGGGCCCTTCACCCCACCACCAGACCCTCCCACATCACTTCCACATTTGAGGAAGAAGGCAGCAGCGCTTCTCAACAACTCTCAGTGAAATTTAAGCACCTCGCAGCAAAAGCTACCTGCAAAGCCTACCTCCACTCCTGGGAAAAATCACTGCTTCATGTTGAAGTCATCTTCCTTCTGTGCTTTTCCTGCAGCCCGTGAGCAGCTCCAAAGGCCCCCATCTCCCCTGCCATCGTCCCGGCAGCAGCAGCCCCGCTTTGCCCCACAGCACCCACACTTCTCCACCCCATCACAGCCTGGGGCAGGAACTGAGGCAGCTCCTCTCTTTGCTGAGAGTTTTCTAATTAAGCCACGATGGTAATGCCATTCACAAAGCACAGACAGGTATTCCACCCTCAGTGTAACCCAGACTCTGCTCTGGTTCAATGCCTGTCCCACTAATAACCAGGGACTTCCTGCCCCATTGACCCTTTGCTCCTGTTTCTTCATTAGGGGATGATAGAGCCCATTGAGACTGTCTGACAAAGGCTTTTCGATGTGTCACAGAGATTGGAATAAAGTATAGCCTCAGAGGTTAAAGTATGTCTTCCTTGGCTTTTATCAACAGCAGAGCTGGTCCTGCCTGAGGGACAAAGGCACATCAAAGTGCAAAATCAAACAGGCCTTGAAAGCAGAAAGCAGCATCTGCTCGAAGAGGATGTAAAGAGTACTCCGTAACCCTGCAAAGAATAAAGGTGAGAGTGGTGTGGGAAGAAGGCATAGCTGAGCTTCCACCCTCAGAAAGTCCTGACCAATTATTGACACGAAATTGTTACCTCCTTATTAACAAAGACCTGCAACTCCATCTGCACAGCTCACAGCTGCATGCAGAGGCTACAGTCGGTGCTGTACTGTCCCACTGCAATCATTTTGTAGTTGCAGTCCTTCACCATGCTATGGTAAAGCACACAGATGCTTGTAGGGATGCCTGGACATCTGGAATTGCTCTTTGCAAACATTTGGGGATCACAGTTACGTTCACCGCACCGCCAACTCCGTGCTGAAGCCCCAGCATTCACACATGGCATCTGCAGATGTGCCAAGAAAGCAAGCAGTGGCTATAAAAAATCCTCCAGCGCCAAAGAAAACTTGTCTCTTAATTACCTCCCTAATTAGAACTTGCACAGTCCTGTTTCCCAAAAGGGACTTGGAGTTTTGTTCCAGTCACCGAGGGGTCCCGAGAACATGTGCCAAGCAGACCTCCCACCCTCCTAATTAAGACCCTTGCTCTACTTTCACTTAATAGGACTTTGTCAACTTTCCAAAGCAACGTGAACTTCTGTTGCATGAAGAAAGAAAGTGGAGCCCTGACATCTTGACAGCTCAGCCCTTTTGCACTAATTTTATTTGAAGCTAATGCCAATAATTGTTTTCCTACTAATTGATGTGAAAGGTGTTCAGGAAGAGACATATTCCCAACTTGGACAAAAGCCCCTTTGGATAAAAAGCCTCTCCAAAATAAAAATCACTTCTCTGCATGTGCAGCCTCCACAGTTTTACCACCATTATGTCTTAAAATATATACATCTATAAATGCACACACACACACACACACAAAGGTAACCTGGGGAGCTGAGCAGTGAGCAGCTGGGAAGAACTCAGTGCAATCCAGTGGCAAACTCAAAAGGAAGCTCTTGCCAAGCACTGAAAACTGGTTCCTAAACATCAGGCTGACAGGATGGATTATTCTGCACAGCACACAACAGAATTCTGCTGCCCTGCTTGCATTGCTTTCAGGTGATTTTTATTTTGCTACATCTGCAGCAGGTCTTCGTTATGCTTCCCTTTTCTCTTCCCTGCCCCGTGGGTTCTCCAAGTCTGAACAGGAATCTCATCCTCTTGAACTCGACTGCACTGTGGTCAAGGATCAGTGCAGCAAGTTCCCCTGACCTGCACAGGTTCTAGTTCAAAGTGCCCACGCCTAAGCAGATCCCAAAAGGCTCAGCAGCACCTTTTCTCACCTTCTTCACCTTGTTTGAGATGAAGTCTATAATGAACTACTGAATTCTTCTTGTGAAACAGGTACTTCTTTGTGCAATAGCCAGGTATAGCCTCATGGTTAGGGTGGGTAACTCTGCCATTCACTTCACACCAGTGATGAGCTCCACCAGCTGCAAACACTGCGTGGCATGTGTTACTGTATGCCTCAGTGAGCTGACAGTACTGCACACACATCTTGGCTGCTTCATGACTAATAGCTGCGAAACAACCTGTGGGCAACGCAGGGCTCCAGTGAGGAACGCGCATCCTGCCTCTCTATGAATTACTAGAGCTGTAATTTTGGTATTCAACAAGCCTCTGCAGGACAAGATGAAACAGACCAGCAGCGTTTCCTTCTTTCTGTAAGGAGAAGAGGATTTACCACTCCTTTCCAATGCCCCCAGAACTGACTGTGAACCAGGAGTCACGACCCTGCTGCCCTCTCCCCATCCCATCCCCCTTCTTCTACGGCTCTTCCCCCATTTAATATCTATTTAACTAATACCTCTCAGCTTGGTCTCCTCGAGCTGAAGCCAGTTTCAGCTGAAATGATACAGACCCATTTACTGAAGCCAAAGGCAGCCTGCAACACGTGCTCTGGCCACATTAAGCAAGCCAGGAAGGGAGGGACGCATACAAAGGATAACACGCACTTAAGACAGGCAGGCAAATGTGAAGATGGTATTTTTAGCTCTTTGGTGCATTAACCCTGAGGGCTTAATGTTGCCATACAGTAAATGAGCAAAGAAGAGACACAGCAGGAATGAAGGGCACTCAGCAATGTCAAGTGTAACTCAGCACCTTAAAGCATTAAGCCTCTAACGAAAAGAAAACCCATTCAGAGAGCTTGTAATGCACAAGAAATTATCTGGCAGCCTAAACAAACACAGCCAATACCCCTCAGGTAGACTGGCACAATCTGATTCTACAAGGGAACTGCATTTCGTGGAAGCTTTGACATATTTTCCCTGTTAAGATTCCAGGCTTGAACTGAGTGCGACACAAAGGAATCAGAATGTGCTGGAGGTCAAGACAACAACATCTCTGCACAGGGACACTTTGCTGAGCAGCTTTCTTTACAACCTAATGAGTTACAGGAGTAGCCCCGAGAGATCAGAGTGTAAAAGAACATAACCAGAAATCATACAAAGGACCTGGCATTTTCAGCCAGTAGGGGGACGAAAAAGGAGGCAGACAACTTAGGGAGAATCCCAGCACTTCTCTTCTTCTTCAATGCAACATGAAGCAGAGCAAAAGCAGGGGTAGAGAGAATTAAAAATGAGACCAAGAAGTCTGCCTGCCTATGCTTCCCTTTCATCAGGCTCACTAAGCTTCTAAGAGGAGGAGGAAGCAACAAAGGAGGCAGGCAATAAAATAACGTGAAAAACAAATCACCTTTCAACATTCTTCCAGCACCAAGATTTTTTCACAACACTTATTACAAGATTCTCCCTGTTTCTGTGATTTCCCACAGGGATCTGCAATATCATGCAAAGACAGCTCTCTGCTCCACCCACTGAGTAATTTTCATTCACTCTGAGTCACTGACAAATTGGAAAGGTAAAATGAACAGAAGACACCTGCTTTTAACACACAGTGTATCTGACTTCTGCTTTTCTAATACTTCATTGGGTGGAGCTGGGAATAAAGCCTGTGATGGCACCTCTTGGGTCCAACTATTCCATATTCTGGACCATTTTAGACTCAATGGGTGGCATCTATTAATTCTTAATTAGGCCTGGAAATTCTTGTCTGGCAACAAATGAAAAAACAAGCTCACTTTGATGTACAGACTAGAGGCAAGAGATTATGTTCTGTAGTTTATATGTGTGCTGCAGTTATACCAGCATGCAAGACTACTGCTGGCCCAAGCCAGGAGAAATAAGCAGAAATCATTTCAGAAGAGCCTGGCTCAGACCTTGCAGTGCTAAAATACTAAAGCTTTCCAACTGTCCACAATGCAAACTCCCAACACTTCATACAGATAATGTGTTCTACCTTGAAGTGAGCACAGTTGAACAAGGCAGTCTAGCTGTGATGGTATGGAGCTCAGTGCTGGCTACATCATTATCCTCTCCCAGGCTGTCTCCTAATACTACAGAAATCCTGTATATCATCCACAAGTATCTCCCTGCCACTTTGCTGTAGGTTACCCAAAACTCTTCAAAAACGCTCAGCTTCAAAGTGTCTCAAAGCAATTACCAAATTCCTCTATTAAAGTAATAACAGTCCCTCAAAGCACGCAGGAATGCAGACACACTCTTCCCCAGCGCTTGTGCAAAACTAGTTGTTGCTGTGAAATAACAAGAATCTTTTATTTTCTAGATGAAAAGGGGGAAATATGATCCAAATCATCCACTCACCATCCTCGTGCCCTTCTCTATTCCTCCGTCGATGTCTGTCTCGACGGTGGCTGATAACTGACTCTGTTCCTGTTTCATTGTCCAGTCCATCCCGACTGCTGGCAGCATTTGGGCTGTTAGAAAACAAATAACAGTAAAACAGTGGAGTCAGTTTTCCTCCTTTCTTTTTCTTTTTCTTTTTTTTTTTAATTTAAATAAGAACAGTTGCATTTGTGAGGTATTTGGTTTAGAATCCAGCAAACTACTACACAGATTTGGCAGCTGCAGAGCTAGCTCCTCCAGACTGCTCTGCTCACCTTAAAGCTACCTGAAGAGTGAGAAGACAGTTCCACAGCCATGCCCTGAGACACAGGAAAGGGATTGTTTTAGATTATGATCCAAGATACAGACAGAGGCACGCATGAGCTCCTCCTCTAAAACCAGCACAGCACACGCTCTATCAGGGGCTTATTCTCAAGGACTTACTCAGACAGGGAACCAAATTGCCTTTCCCACAATTTCTCCAAATATATATAAACCAAGCTGTGTTTTGGCATGCTTCCTCAAGTGCTTGTTCCTCTCCAAAGAAGCTTGTTTCCCTGACAACAACCTGAGCTGCACAGGCAGCATGCTGTCATCAGCCAAAGGGGCAGAAGCTGTAGTTCACTGCAGCCACTTGTAAAGCAAAGTGCTGACCTTAAAGGCTGAAGTCCTTCAAGTCACAGCAAAGCTTGAAATAATTAAGTGCACATCTGCAAAACACTCAGGCAGACCCCAGGTCCTTTCCTCATCTTCTCAACCATCCAAAAGCTCCGCAGCTATGCCAGTGCAGCACAGCACTTCATCTAATGAGTCCCTGTGAAGGGCCATTATGAGCCAGCAAGCTTTGGGCAAAAAGCAGAAAGATCCTGATGACCACCTCAGCGGCCACATTTCTTCCATTATGCTCTTGTGAAGGCTCTGCTGAGAGCCAGTTTCTTGTTCCTACAACTAATTAAACAGAACAAAAGGTTTCAAAGAGGCAGCAGAGAATTCCGCCCTGTGGCTTAGGGCCACTTTCTGGGACCAATCTAAACAAACAACTCCAGCTCCTTATTCTTGAACTTCAAGCACTGAGAAAGGGCCATTTCTCAATTCACATAAACCACACTGCTTTTTTTTCTTCTAATTCCAGCAGACATGTCTGCAAACCAAGAGCAGTAGCTGTAGTGCAGCATCCAGAATACGTTAAGAGCACCTCTTTGCAACCATGTGTTCCAAAAGCTCACTGCTGAGGAAAGAGATCAGTCACTAAAGAAGGTTGCAGCAAGGGAGATGATGGAGATGCTCTTTTCTCTACAACTGATGGTGAACCTGGGCATCTTCTCAGCTGCACAGTCTGATGGACAGGCACTCATTACTGTGCATCAGCGGGACCTTGAGCAAACAGCTGGCACAAGCAAGCACATCTGTATGGCTCCATTTAAGAGGGCTGCTGAAAGCTTTCTACAACTGCACACCCACACACTTTCTCAGCACGAACGAAATGTACTGACATGCCCACCACACCAATTAGGAAACAGCCTCTGATTCAAGAAAATATCTGAACGCACTGGCCAAGCCCTAAGGAAGCTACCAGCATGTAAGCACGTATTGATGTGCTGACACAACTATGTTTGTATGGCTCAGGTCAGCCCAATATAACTGAAAGGGGGGTAACACTTTTCTGAGGCAGCATCTTCTGCCTTCATCACATATGAAGAGCACAGAGCTCTGCCTGCCCTGCACGCACCCAGACACCTCAGCAGCACCATCTCGTGACTACTGCTATTACTACTCAGTCCTAAGCCTTTTCCAGGCTAAACTAGTTTATAAAAGGTGTTTGACAGCAGAATTAAATGCATGGGAGGAACCTCACAGCTGGCCTGTTTCCTCTCCCATTGCTGAGCAAATCCAGCTTCCAGCACACGCACCCAAGGGCTGTGAGCAAATGTCAGCAAGGCAGAGCAGAGGTCACTCATGCACTGACCCAGGAGCAGCCTCACCCATTCAGGTGGACGTGGATTTGGCAACCAGTGAGCTGAAGCAGTAGAGCATGAAATGCAGGCTGAGCTTCAGCACCTTCAGCAGGGAGGGAGGAAGGAAATTTTCTTTGGATTGAAATCAGCGACGGAGCAAAATATCAATACTGTCAGACAGCTCAGTTGAGTTTATCACTTCACTGCTGATAATTATCTCGTTCTCTTGGAAGGTATTGCTTGCCTGTCTGCTCCATCCATTTCTTGTATTCTCTGTAGACCAGGAAACATTTCTGTTTGCACAATTACACAACGCCCAGCTTGGCTGGGGCTTCTTGGATAAATAAGGCCTCTACCAGCAGTGCAGAAAGAAGACAGAAGATGACAGATCTCTGTTAGTTTTAATAGCATCCATATAGCATCAGGGATTTAGGAGTCGAGAAGATAAGACAAGGCCACAGAAAGGGACATGATAGATGAGCACACAGAGATAGTGGAGTTAGGGCTGTGCAAGTCACAGGATTGCAGTAATCATCTCTTAGAAGGAAACACTATTAAAGACACAGTGTGCAGAAACAGCACCAAGCACACTACTGCAGAATCACCAAACCAAAATCTGAAGGTCTGTCCTTTCAAAGAAGGATAAGAACTACAGCTCACAATTCAAGCTCTGGAAGCCATGCTTTATAATTAGAGACTGGGCAACTCAACTTATTTCATTTACCCAAGGAAACAAGCTATTCCAAAATACAGTAAACTATCACGTGGAATCTTTAAACCTAGAATGGATGCTGTTTTCTTAAACGAAATGCAAACAGCTAAACAGAAGGGCTTCATGCCAAGTAACCAAGTGAGACATTCTGACACAGGCAGGATTTTTGGGACACTGGAGTGCAGCAGGTGCAGAGCAGATCAAAGATTTAATCTGAATGCGTACAGTTATCAGCAACATTGTTCCACAAACACAGCGCTGTGCCTAACTTGCCATGGAATCACTTCTTGGAAAAGAATCTTGCAGTTATTACAATTAGGTATAAGGCAGGGAGACAAAGAACTACTGATGCTTGCAAGCCGTGTGACTGTATTCATGCTAACCTTCCCTGGGCAACACAAAGCAATGCACGGACACACGAGGGCAGTAAAATCCTTGCAAAAAATCACAGTGTCAGGGAGGGTTCGTATTTCTTAAGATTTCTTGTCCCCTCTAGAACACATCTGTCTGTAAAAGGCTTATGCAGAACACCCGGGGCTCTTCCAGGCAACAGATATTGCAGACAACAGAGGAAACGTGACAACAGGCACATCAAGGCTGGGTTTCCCTTTCAAAACACACGAATCACTGCCTTCCTAGCCCATCCTTCTGGCTATTTGTTCATGTCAGCAATTCAGAGCACAACACAAGGTGCCAGTCAAGAGCAGAAAATGAAACAACTGTTAACCCCCTGCATCCAAGGGCTGCTTGACACTGCAGTCCCTGCAGCAAAAAGGGCCTCAAATGAGAGCATCAACACTCACAGATGTGATGAGCAGGAGAAACTCTGCCAAACTGCAGACATGAGAGGCCCTGACAGTTCAGCTTCGTTAGCAAATGACACTCGTCACGCCTCAAGACAGATGGGGCAGATTTCCCACACATATAGAAAAAGGACTTCTGGACTTTAACACCAAATGTACAACAGATGCACGAAAGGCTTGGAGAATACCACCATCTGGTTACCCAGAGAGAAAAGAAAAAGCAGAGCATTCTGGCAGCTAGTGCAGGAGAAGGCAGGAACACAGGCTTCAGCTCAGTTGTGGGTGCTCCAGCACTGCTCTAGCCCTCGTGAAAGCTCATCTGCCAATCGCTCCTGTTCACTGTGCAGCAACTGGAGTGAATTTACTGCTTCTTGATTTACAGTGCACAGTTTCAATGCACAGACACCACATTTATAATAATGGAAAGCGATAAAATTCACCACTTCAACTCTTCAAAGTTTAGCATAGTTCAGGCTTAATGTAAGCAACATTCAAGAGCACGACAGTACCAGCCTTCCTTAGCTCTAACAAGCATATTGCTTTGTAACAGTACCAACAAACAGCCAGCTTGCAGCAGCAGCAGGGAGAAACGCGTGGAATAGACACCAAGGAACCACGTTTTTGGTTTAAAGAAGTAATATAAAGCCAACTTGCTCTTACTGGAACGATGGAGGCCGGGAGTCTCCAATGCCACCCGTCCTCTCGATGGGAGGTGGAAGGTCTGCGTGGCTCTCGGTGCACTGTGAGCCTGTGTCAGAATGGGAGCCTTCAGCCAGGACCAGCTGCCAAGAAAAAGAAGAGAATTACAGCATATCTGCACAGGTTCCTCCGTCCTGACACGTGCCTGGGGGTCGCTGCTTTGCTACACACTTTGTGAGTATTTATGAGAGACAAGAAGAGAAGAAGTGCTCAGTGTCCACCTGCACAAATTCCTGCCAACCCTTCATAAAATCATATTACATTCAACCTCAAAGTGAAAACATTATCAGCTAGGATGCACAAAGCTCCTGTGAGCCCCACAGAAGGCTGTAAATCCTCCCCATAAAGACCAGTGCTGGAAATATAATTTTTATTTCCTACCAACATCCCAATTACTACAAGGAAGGCTGTGGAATAATCAGTCACAGAGATGGACATGTCACACCAGACACTTCCTATACTCAATCTCACTGGCAGTAAATTCAGGACAGAAAGACCATCTCCATCCAGCATGCCTGTTTGGTTCATCTATCAAAGATTAGTTCTAGAACAATCAGGTTCTTATTGTTCTCCACTAACAAAGGGAATGCTCCTTAGATTGTTTAGGATCCTATGAGCTTCATGATAAACTCTCCTTTGGGATGCTATGGAAGGAATAAAATGCTCCCATACTGTACTATTTAAAACAGAGAAGATGTGCTGTGGGACACACAGACTTCTCCCTGTGCTTCCATGAGAACTCAAACGATTCTATGATTCAATCAAACACATGTGGAAGCTCACCTGTAATTCTAGATGATGCTTTTTGATTTGACTTGCTCCCCACCATTTTGGAAGGTGCATTCTTCCTAAGCAGTGAATGGTGCAGTGCATGTGGTGGTGGTGGTGGGCTGATGGTTGGACTGGATGATCTTAGAGATCTTTTCCAACCTTAACGACTCTATGATTCCACAATTCTAAATAATTATAATAAAGCAGTGCAAACCCCAGCCTCACAGCCAGGATCCAGCCCTGATAAATGGATTTCACCCTGCAGCTCTGACTGGCAGCAGCATTTTATTCCACTTCTTTGCTTACACTGTGCTGCCGCTGCTCAGGCTGTGCAACAGCTGCTGGGCTGCACCCCAAAGGGCTGCATTTCAATGGGAAACGTGGATGACTTCTGTGTGGTTCACATGGAGGAAGTTAATAAAGCAGTGTGGAACTAATTGCAACTGTTGATTCAGTTCATTCCATCACACTGAGTGCTGTTTGCTCTACCAATGCCATCCCACCACAGCACTTGCAGGAAGGCACCCGGACTCTGAAATGCAAACAAAGCTGACGCTCCCAAGCAGTGCCACCAAGCCAGGGAGCTCACAGTGTCAGGTTCCTCTCATCACTGCTACCACCGTGCTGCACTGAGTGCTTGAACCCATTGCTTCACCTCTCTCCGTTTCCCTTTTTCTCCACCACACCATATTTGCTTATGCTTTTACCTTAATTATGGAGAAGGCTGCCTTTTATAGCAGCCTGCACTCCGCAGCCACCCAGCACAACAAACCTGCTCAGACACGAAGGCAGCTCAAGGAACCAGCCCAGCCAACACTCATGGCTGAATATGTCAAAAGAGAACCAGTCTGGGAAGGGGAAGGAGTGAACAGTGGTGAGCCCTGCTCTCACATCTCATCTGCCTAAACACCAAGCAGTACGTGAGCATGGAAATTACATTATTTGAACTGCCTCTGCTACTGGGAGCAGCAGCAGCTCTCAGTACCCCTCTTACCATAGAGGGGAGTGAGGGACTGAAAGTAGCTGCTGAATACACAAGAAGAGCCACTGGTATTTGTGACAGTAACTTCACAGTGCTGTGCTCAGCTACAGGTTGGGAGCATTTCCTGTAAAATCACAGACACCTGCACCTAACTTCAGAGTTCCCATGCACAGCAGAGCAGAACCATCCAGCCTTACTTTTGCAAAGAGAAGACCCTCACATCCCAGAGATTTGCAGCCTCCCCTCATCTGCCACATTCTTTCCACTGTCCTTCAAGTTCCCCTCTCTTCCTGCCAACTATCTGCTCCTTTCCCACCTCCTCTTTCCCATAGAAGCCCTAGCACTCTGTTCCAGTCCGTGAGCAGATGAATGTGGGCACGTATGACCTGTGAAGAAAAAGACCCCGAAATCCCTTCATTTTAAACATCAGAAACCAACCAGAATCTGTTCACACTGATCTTCAATCATGGCCTCAATTACATGTCAAAAGGCAACAATGCACTTTGCTGAGCATCACTTAGTGCTTCTACTGCTCCTGAGTTCTTAGTGTGGGAGAAGGCATAATGCTTCTATCCCCCAGCTCTAAGTGCAAACACAGTGCCTAAAAGCTTACATACACACAGGACAAGCATTATCTGTTGGCACCTAGCTAATAGAGGGAAAAAAAAAGAGGAAGAAGGCTCTGACATCACTGCCAGCCAATAGATGGTGCACATCCCCAGCAGCCAGCCAGGGAACTGCTCCCAGATGTCACAAAGCCTTCCTAAAGAAGGGCTGGCAGGGGCAGGCAGCTGGCTCAGACCCGGCTGTGGCCACCAGCCAACTCCTTCTTCATTCCCAGCTTCCACCACGAGCTGGCCCTGCTCTCAGCAAGGAGAATGGAAAAACGTTTTACACTTGAATTTTACCTTCTCGCCTCTTTCTCCCCAAACCTGATTCCATCTCCAGCCATAAGTCACACAAGCCCACGCTGGTGCCAAGCAGCATCTGCACGCCTGCCAGTAATTACAAAGAACGGGAGGAAGCAGCTCCTAATAGCCACAGACAATTCCAACACTTGTACTCCACCAAACACACAGTTTGGTTTTGGTTTCCATGTTCTTTCACTTTGCCTTGAATCTTCAAACACTCCTTACAGCCTTTCTGTAACATCTGATCAGATGCACTGAATGAAAAGCAATGTTGTTTGCAAGTCAGTTGCAATTGGAACTGAAAGTTTGGGATCATTCCTGCATCTCATGTTCACAGAGTGCAGAACCCAAACCACACAGGCTGCACAGCAGCGCAGAGCTGAAACCCAATTTAGATCCATACTGTCAGACAGTGTTCATTTGCATGTGACAAATTATGTCGTGGTTCTTGCATGAACACTAATGAAAGGCAGAACACACACCCTGTCCCAAGGCTCCAGCAGAGCTCCAGAGAGCTGCTTAGTGAGGGCTCTGCAGCTCACATCTGTTGTCTCTGCAGAGCAGCCACAACTGAGCACACACTGCCTGTCCAAAGAGGCCTGGAGCACCTGAGTGCACATCACACACCCCTAAAATCACTGCATTTTGCTCAGGTGGCATAAAGATGGACTGCTCACTGCCCTGTAAAAAGTGAAATCTGCTTCTGTGGAAATACACAAACGTCTTGTTCAGTGCTTCTACGAAGCAAGGAGAACCACAGCCACTGTTAGAGCAGGAGTGCACTGAAAGGCTCTGGAGATAAAGTTCATCAGGAGGGCAGGCTGTGGCAAGGAAACGAGGAAAAGGGCAGGAGGGCAAAATGTCCAAAGCAAAACAGGCAGTGGGAAAAGCTGATGAGTGCCTGTGTTGCTGCTCAGCATCCTGAACTACACTGAAGGGCGCTGTGTGATTTAACACACTTGGCCAAAGGGAAAGGAAGCGGGGAGGGGAAGTTAGGGTGCTACGTCTAGAGCTGCATGCAGCAAAATTAAAACACTATGCTAATGAGAAGGGAAGATCTGTATCAACAGCAAGCTTCATCCTTTCCTACTGCAACACTGAAAGCAAATTCATCAGGCCAGAGATTGATGGCAACCCCAGGCACGAGCTGTTATTTTGGCACAGAAATACCTACTCTGCCCTAAGTCCAGAACAAACTGCGTGAGATTTCTGACAACAAATGGCAAAACACAACAATGAGACACCAGTCACAACAGGGTGCAAGCCTGCCTTCTCTGAGACCAACTAATTACATCCAAGAAGCAATGTTTTGTGCATTTTCTTGGTCCTGCAATCTGGGACAAGGGAAATCTCAAATACAGCATTGTAAGGATGGTTACTTTTTCCCTGCTACATGGAGTTCCAAACTCCTCCCTTCTGTCTTCACTGAACCTGGAAGGAAATAGGATATGTTTGTGTTAACACTATGAAGTTCTAGATGAAGGACTCTGCCATATAACCAATGATAGTCTCTGTATCACTGAAAAAACAACAAAAAAGTCAACCAGGGAAAAGGCAATCTATAAATCTAGTAAGCAGCAACCCTCTGTCCCGTGTTATTTATTCAATTGAAATAACCCATTCCAAAATCAAAAGGATGAGATGCAGAGGAGAACAAGTGGGACACAGGTGGGATGTGGAAGAGGTCTAAATACCTAATGAGGAGCACTGACTCCAATTTAATGCTAATCTAACCGTGCACTGAGTTCCAGGGCAGCAAAAGTAAGCAGCAACTGAAGTCTTGCAGACCCTTCTTTGAATGCTTTCCTCCTATGGAAATCAGTCCTGCATATGACACTAAGATCAAAGTGCCCACCTATGACAAATAGAAGGATTCAAACGTTATTAAAAAAGATGAAACTCAAATTTCTCAACATCAGTCATCTTGAGAACTTCAAAGTAGTCACTGCATCAGGGAAGAGAGGAGCTGGGGGGAGGAGACAGCTAAGCTGTATTGGATGCACTTAATGTTTCAATTTTAAGTGTGTTGTCTGGATGAGAAATGTACATCCATGCATTGCAATAATTTACACTGAGGATGACAAATACCACTGATGGCTTGTGAAAGAATCCCAAGCTATCTGCCACTAGCTGATGCACATATTCTGACAAGGAAGATTGGGATCCATCATGCTGGTAATTGAACAAGGAAACAACCCTGCCCCAAACGTGGTCTTTCTAAAAGGTAAAAACCAACTTTGCTTGCCCTAAAATAGATGGATGCAATTAACTGCTCCATCCCAGTGAACAGCATATTAAAGTGCACCAAACTGTGAACAATTAACTCACAGTAAGATCTCCCCTACATTTAGCAGCAAACAGATGCAGACAAGCACCGCAATTTGATGGATGTGTGTATGGACAAAGCAATGTGGAATTGGTAACACAGGCCAGGCTTCAGCTGATGGTTCAGCAGAGGGAAGAGAAGCCCTTGCCACCATCACCCCCCCTTGCTGCTGTGCCCATTGCAGACAGCAGGCACACAGACACAGGCTGACTTACCCAGGACACCACCCTTCCATTGAAGCAGGGCAGCTTTGCATTGTCATCCGAGATCTCCTCCTTCACCACCCTGCCAGAAAAACAACAGCAAGAGAAAGAAAGTCAAGAGGTTGAAATGACATCACACCAGAATTAGACGCTGGTCTGGGCTACCAAGGCAATGGTAAGGAACCTCAGGGCTTGTCAGCCCACAGACAGCACTGTGCTGGGCTTTCCTGCCACACCAGCCGAGGCAGAAGGTGTACACACTCACTAATGAGGCATTAAGAGAATGCATTCGTTTGCTACACCACAGACTCCAGCTTGGCTTCTCCCCAGCACCGCAGAGCTCAGCTGTCTGCTCCCAACAGCCTCCCTCGGGTGGAAGGAAACTCCACAAAAAAGTTTATTTGCACGCCGTTTTATTGCCACTTTTACAGCTGCTAAGAAAAACAAAAGCAAATGTCTGACACGAGTCCTCCAGGAGGGCTATTGGAGCTTTTCTTTCTTGCACTCCCCAGCCCACCTCAGGGTAATGGAGGCCATTTGCTTCTGACAATCTCTCAGCTTTAAAGAAGCCAACCCAAAGTCTCTCCGACCCAACGCAAGGCTGCGGTTCCCCAACCACATTTTCCTTTATTTATGTTTTTGTCTTTCTTGTTGCTGCGTAGAGAAAACCACAACGGCCACGAAGTAACTGAGTGTGCATAGAAGGGGAGCAGATAATGAGAAAGGAAACAGGAACCATAAAGGAAGGAGGAGAGAGGAGATCAGAGCAAACAGTTTCTTTTCAATGACTTCTCTTGGAAAATTAGGGATAAAGAACACCACTAATTCTTTCACTTTTAATTTTTTTTTGTTTAAAACATCCTTCTCTCTCTCTGCAGGTATCTGCAGTGTTAATGGCTTGCAGTTCAATATTAGGCAGCCTTCACCCTGCTCCTACTATTGGGAAAAAATGCTTTAAAATATTCATTTAATCCCTAGAGCATCTGTCCTCCCCCCCTTCACCTTTTGGCAATAAGGAACAGATCATGAAATTTCAGCACTGATTTTAGTTGTTTATAACTCGACTCTACAGAGGCAATTAAGAGCAGCACTCAGTGCTTTAAGCAGCTCTGAGAATTCAGGGAAGCTCTCACACCTGTAATTCCAGAGCTGCAAGCTGTGTGCAGACAGAGGATTTCAGCTTGGCACAGATCTCCAGCCCCAGTCTGAAATCCAGATGTTACCTTTTGTGTTTCAGAGTCCTGCAGAGAGCGTTCAATAAAGATCCAATAATGGGACTGGAGAAAAAGATGCTGCAATCATTTTATCTTGACAGCTGCATGTTTGGAATGACAGCATTCTTTTTTTTTTAAATATAAAGATAAGGACACACCAACCAAGTGCAAGTGACAACCAGAAGCAGAAGTTCTGCTGTAAGACGCAAGGAGTAAGACTGAGAAGACGCTGGCTGTGAGGTGCTGGGGGCCCTTTTGCACCTGACACATACAGCAGTGGGGATTCCCTGCAGTGCTGCACAGGCTGCTCCAGTTGTCCTCCTGATGGAGAACCAGCCACCCCCCCTCAGTGCTCCCTGCCACGGCATCAGCTTTCTGCTGCAGCTAAGGGGAACGACTTCAGATCTGTTGCAACTCCAACTACTAAATATAGCCTGGAGCTATGAGGCAAGAGGAGGACAGACTGTAATCCCAGCTTGCTTTGGGTAGCAAGGAGCAGTGCCAAGAACATCCAATGCAGCAGCAGCCACTAATTTCAAGTAGCACCGTTCTGCAAATGGTGACTTGCACTAAAGCAGCAGCTCCTTCCAGCTCTCAGGAAGGGGAGAAGGGAGCAAAGGGCTACAAACGGAGGCAGTCACATGCTTCAGTCTGAGCAGAACTTTGTAATCTGGAACCACTCAAATCAGCAGCACAAGGAAGATGAGGTGATGCACCTGATCTGTCAGCAAGAACCACCTGACAGCACGAAACACATCCCCTGCTCACACACAGCTGGAGATTCCCTGCAAAAAAGGGGATGCTTGTTTCCTCCATGCAGCTGCTGGCAAGATTGAGATGTGTGCATCCCTGTTCCAGCATATGCAATCTTCTGCTTAAATCAAGTTAGGAACTACTCAGAGTCAGAGCAAAGAGAGCAACAAACACTACCCAGAGCTCCTTACCATCAAACCTGAGTGAACACAGACTTGAGAAAGAGAACGTGCAAGAAAGGGTGTGGATGTGCAGGGAAGAGGAGGGGGGAGCTCTCAGAAGCTCACATCCTCTGCTTTATTTGCCTTAGAGGAGAATTCAGGACTAATTACTAAACGAAACAATCACTGCTGGTAACAGCCCCTCCTTCCTTTTGCTTCCTGGAATTGTGTCTGGATCTTCTGGCACTGCTCCCAGCCTCCTGCACTAAAAGATGCTTTTGCCTTCACCAAATCCAGCTTTCACCACCTCCCAGCACCTCACCTGCTTTGGCGACAGGCTCGCAGCATCACCTCCCTGCACCCTGCTGCCTTCTTTCCTCCAAAGAGGATTTTAGCCCTAGGACCAAGGGTTGTTCAGGCTTACCCTTGCTCTCATCCCTCTGCCAAGCCGTTTGCTGCCACAGAAGATACACTGACTCCTTCCTAAGAACCCCAACTGGACCCCACAAACCCGCAATCAGTAACCCTGCAGACAATTAGCTATTAAACACTGGTTTGATAGCATTGCAGACACCTGCACTGCTATCATGCACACCTATGGGAGACTTACTAAGACTCACTGAGCTAGCAGGTTTGTTCCTGCCCACTCAGAAGAGTGAGGCTAACCAGGCAGCTGCCATTTGCTCATGGTCCACACAGGTTCTGAGCCTGGAAAGCACAAACAGCAGAGCAGTTTTTGCTTCTCTTTGCCAGAACCACTGCATGAAGCCGCAGTGTCATTTATCACTCCAGGTTAATAAGTACCATGCCACAAAGAGCACATCGAATAGAACCTTAGCAGCAGATTAATCCCATTCTGTCACTGTGATCCTAATCAAGTCTTTCCTTAACTCTTTCTTACCGTCCTTTATTGATGGGAGATGGAGGAAAGCAGTTTCATTCACTACTTTTCATTACTTGCTAGGAGACCCTCAGAGAGCAGGTGAAGTAATTAAGCCATTTGTTCTGTATGTTCACTGACTCCAATGACCACAGTGAAGGTAAGCGATTGTTCAGACATCAGCTCTGGTTTGTAGCATCATGGAATCATGCAGGTCAGAAGAGAACACCAGAGGTCACCCAGTGCCACCTCCTGCCCAGTGCAGGTCTCACTGCCCAGGACCACATCTCTTCCAGTTCTGAGCATCTCCAGGTATGAAGATTCCATCTCTGGGCAACTTGAGCCTGTATTTATGAAGCAGCAGTTTTCCAGAGGAGGTGTTTAAATCAGTAAAACGATAAGTAATCCTAAGCCCACACCTGCAATGAGTTAATACTAAGGAAAGTCGTAATGTTCTGCTACCTGCTTTGGCAGACCTGGAAGCTAAGCCCACTCAAAAGCAATCTCACCTTCAGAAGCCCCTGGCTTCTTATGCAGTTTGACTGATATCTGCACGTGGACCAACAGCCAGAGCTACAGTAGGAGGTCTGCACTCCACCAGTGCCAGCTGGTGGCTTGGCAGAAGCTCTGCTGACTTCAGTAGCCATAAGGAAGTGTTGTTAAAGCTCTTTTGGAAGAAGCTCTTTCTGAAGATGTGTCAAATCAACCCCTCAATTCTGCCTGGCAGCAGTTCTATGTTGTAAGACATCAGTTAATGTACGTAAAAAAACAAACCCTATTTGTTAGCCTCTGAGTGTATTAGCCATATATGAATATATCTGAAGATATAGTAAGAAAGAAGAATGTGCATTGGCACCTAATGCAAAACTACATAAACTCAGTGACAGAGTTGACTGGAAGGAGGGGATGATAAGTCAATCAGCAGAAAAAGCTTATAAATGAAAAGAGCAAGCAACCTCACAGTCCTTAAGCCAACTGTTTTGGCAGATCATAAATAGAAGATGATGTACTGCAACATCTTTTAAGCTTCATCAAACATGACTACATAATTTGTCTTTCAGGGCTCATTCCATACCAAAAGGGCTGATCTGAAGGCACGCAGTATAATGAGAAGTGATACAAATCATATTGACAGTCACCATCCTCACTGACACTGAGGTTCTCATGCATCCCAGGGCTGTGACTGGGCTGTGTTTGGCACAAGTGAAGGCAAAAAGTGTATCACAACTAGGATGAGAAGAAAAAGTCACATTATTTAGTAAGTTATCTGACTGTATTACTGTCTCACCAGTGTTAATGAATCAATCTATTCTTGCAGCTGTCCCAAATGACAGACACAAATCGTCAGCTCTGCCACGAAGACAAAGAAGTCACAATACAAAGGGACAAGTCAGCAAAATCATGAAGCAAACCCACATTTCCAAGTCCAACTCCCCTGCCTTAGTTACAAATAATAAATAATCATTTAACCATCCCCCATAAAATTAAGCAGTTCTTGAAAACAACCTAGGAAAAACACTGTTAAAGAGAGCCTACGGCCAGCAGCAAGCTGGTTGTGGAATGCCCATTGGAAACAGTTGGCTTGGATTTTGCTTTCCCCAGGGTGCAATTATCTTTAAAACTCACTCTCCAAACAGTGCTGGTGGATGACACTCATGCAGTGCCCAGGCAGGGATGCAGCCTGCAGTGAAGCTCTGCAGCTGAAGCCAGGCCACCACCACCTTGCACACAGAGAGCTGCACCCCAATTCACTGCAGTTTCCAACCCAGGCCAGCCAGCCCCGAGAGCTGAAAGATGAGGTTCATGAGGCTTTTCATGGCTTATCATCAACAGCTCTTAGCCCCACTGATGGGCAGCAAGAGACTGCATGGCATGTAAGGTTCTGGGCAGCTCCAGTATCAGATAAAACGGATAAAATATTCTTGTGTGAAAGAAACAGATTTTGGTAATGTTGTATCAACTGCTTTTGGTAATGTGTTGTATCAACTGCTCTGTGTCACCACGGGACAAGCCAGCAGCTCCAGACCTCTCATTACAAGTACTCCATTCATTTTCAATGAAAGTGCAATTGTGC